TTTTGAAATAGCTGAATAAGCAAAAAATTCGATTTTTTTTTTGATCCGAATTAATTCGTTTCAGGCCCCCCTCACCCTCGACGAGTCCACGATGCACCAAATGCCGCCAGTCCCGCTCCTGAGACGCAAGAACCCCCCGGTCGAGAGAGAAGCCGACGTCACCTGACTTCCATTTCAATACCCCGGCTTCCCGGCTTGAAGGCGGCTCCGGAATTACACCGAGCAAGAGGAATATTGGTACGGTTTTATCTAATTAACGGGAAAATACGGCAATACATAGAGTGGAGCGTAGACTGGCATACTGTAACGTAATCTGACGTACCAAAAGTCATCTTTTCAGCCAAATCCACGCCAAACCTTGCTGATGGCCGCCCGGTCACCGGAATCCGCAGAAGAATTCTGGCCGCTCAAGGCCGATCTGTTACTCCTTTGGTCCAGGTATGTTTTTTGACGTATTTTTAAGTTTTCATAAACAGCTACAGTAACCTACAGTATAAAATGCAGTTTTCTAAAATTATCGCTTTCAATTCATTGATCGGGAAAACAGCACAAATTAATCCCAAGTTTTTGCAGATCAACCAGGAGCACCAGATGGAGCAGTACGATGAGGAGAAGGACTTCCTGGCCGCTGCCATGCGTGATATTGAGTTTGGAGATGATGACGACCTCGAGAACGAGGGTCCTGAATTATTGATGCGGTTTGGCCGCGGAAATTACGCCACTACCAGCTTCCAGACGCCAATTCAAGTGTAAGTTCTTAGAAGAATGAGAGAGAGTGAGAGAGAGAGAGAGAGAGAGAGAGAGAGACAAGTAAGCGTCGGCGCATTAATGGCACCCGATTGGTAAGGCTAGCTTTGTTCCCGCAGCCGTTTAAACTGCTCGAAGTCGTTGGCACAAAATTCTGAGACTATTGATTAGATCTTTCGGGATTTTGGCGAACTGTCGATATCTAGTGGTGATAAAGCGTCGATTTTGGCAATTCTGAGCCCCTTGAAGACCTTTATTTTCAGCTCGGCCCCCTCCTCCCTCCAAAATACCCTCAGTGCGACGATGATGTCCCCCTTGATGTCGCCCTCCTCTCCAAATTCGGCCGATAGCTGCTCGAAGTCCACGAAAACCCTCTCAACACCGACGAGCAAAGACTCCGGCCTCACCAACTCAGATAATGAGGATGGTGTGATTAGACGGTAGGTTCTTAAAATGTTATTTTTTTTGTTATTCTAGCGTTAAGCAAGAAAAAAGCTGAGTTAAACGTCTATTATGCATCGAAAACTCGTTTTTAGCCAAGCCAACTCGAAATCCGACGACGATGGCTTTTTCGATGCCTCTGGAGAGAAGAAAACTGATGGAGAGGCCAGTGAGGGTGACAGTATCTTCACTTCGATCACCAATCAGCCGAAAGGGTGAGTTATTGTCTAGGTTTCATTGTCTGTCTCTATCTGGCTCTCTCTCTCTCTCTCTGTCTCTCGCACCTAAACCCCTATTTTCAGAGAAGAAGCTGTCGACTCTGAAGAGAATCGCGGCAAGCCAATCTCAGAGCTCGAGCGCAAGGCCCGCGTGATGCGCTGGATCAACGAGGCTGCGATTCAGATCTAATACTCTAAAAACCGTATTCCCGGACTTTAATTTTAAATTCAAGCGTCTTTTAACCCCGATTCCCCCGACAAGAGCAACTTTTGCCCCGTTCCTATTTTTCAAACAAAACTGACAATACTTCATGGAATTTCTCATATTTTCTAGCTCAATTCCGCGGCCAAATTACCCCCCAAAAAACCCCGAACCCAAATCGTTACCGGTTTATGTCTTTGTGTACCATTCGCCACCGCCCCAATACCACACACAAGCTCCTCGCCACCATTCTAGTCGAGAATTAAGGATTACTTCGTCTTTTGCTTCACATCATCTTATTTCTACTAAAACCTGGTCGTTATATCTTTTAAAGGGACGAGGAATTGACAGAATCGACGCCTTTGGTTGACTAGATCTCGACAACTACGCGGTAGCCGGAAAGGCCTAGAAACATCATTATAAAGGAGCGTACAAGGCATATCTAGGGATTCTTAGGCCATGAATTTCTTACGGACTCGACCGTGATGCGACACGCAAAGCGGGCCAACATTTCCATTACGTAATCGATTACGCTTCCTAAAATTATTGCACTAGTACTAATAGTCAGCGCGTCTTTCATAGCTTTAAATCCATAGTTATGCCTTGTCAAACCCCTTTAAAGTGACCTTTTTGCGTAATTTGGTGTAAAGCGTAGCCGTCGAGACCTAGTTGACTTAGAGGGTCGATTCTGGCACTTTCTAGTCCCTTTAAAAAGGTCCAAATGAATCCCGTGTGTCTATATTCTAGCCAAGACTTCCCTGTCATTTTTCTGTCCCTCTATTTCTGACGAATTTAAAGGAATCCAGGCTTGCATTTCTTTAAATGATGTATTTTTCCAGTTTACCCCGATTTTTCATCTTTTTTTTGCATGTTGTGCTCTTCCCTTTCATTGCCGCCCGACATGCTCAGAGTGTAAATAAAAGGCTTCATCAAAGAGGAGTATATGGTGGTTGAGCAGGGCGAGGGGAAATTTGCATAGAAGCGAGGCGACATGGAACTTTTGAAAAGTTTGAGTTAATCGTTTTTAAAAAGTTTTTACGAAAACGAAAAATCGAAAAACGGAAAATTTACAAATCGACAATTTCTGATAAAGAATTATAGCTTTCCAGCAGCAGCCAAAACCCTACAAGATGTAAATCAAGATCATGGCGATGAATGAGAGAACATAGGTGGATGAGGACGCCGAGTCGGGCTTTGCAGTGGGTGAAGGAACTGCTAAAATTGAAAAAATAGACATGTAGCTATAGGCCTTCAGAGTCATACTCTTTCTCGCTAGCTCTCTCTCTCCTCGCTCTTTCTCTCACTCTCTCTCACTCACTCTCTTTCTCTCTCTCTCCTCTCTCTCTCTCTCTCTCTCTCTCTCTGTTTCTCTTTCTCTCCCACCTCCTTCTCCAATAGCCTTCGTTTCGTCGGCGATCATCTTGTCGGTGTTCGCCTTCACCCTCTCGTCTTCCAGTATTTTCTCAATCTGATCGGCCATCTAAATGTCGATTTTTTAATTCAATTTTAAAATCTAGAATCCATAATCTACAGATTTCAGCAACAACTTTGAAAACCACGTCAAAGAACCCACCTTCGTCATCTCTTCCTCGCTCATCTCGGCCGGGATCTCGGGTAGTTCAACCTAGAAAATTATTTCTTATTGAAATTTCTGGCCTTTGAATACATAATCTTAGGACAAACCGAAGCCTAAGCCTAAGCTTTTACAAAGCGGAAACCTAGGTCTGAGCCTAAGCCCAAGCCTAAGCCTCCTTCTCCTCGACTTCTCTCCTACCTTCGGGGCAGCTCCGCCTCCAATGCCAGCACCGATAATTTTGTCTTCATCCTCTCGGATGATGTCCTAAAAAAGGCTGTTATGGTACTTAATGTAGCTGAAATCCACAAAAATACGCGCAACCCACCTCAGCAGCGACGCCCGGCGGATAGACATCGCCACTCGTTTTCACCTCAACAATTTTGTCGCCGCCGGCATCAATCACCGTTTTCTGCGCTATCGAGCCGCCCGTGTACTTGTCGAGCAGGTGGCGGTATTCTGAAAGTGGATTTTAATGTCGCCATCCCTTTACAGACAACATAAAAGCTGATTTAGGCATGGAATTTCCAGTAAATAAAGTTTCCGTGACCGCGGTACGCCTTTCCAGTCGCTGAAAAGCTATCCAAACCTGGCAGAATGTCGCCTTTTTCGTCAATAGGCAAATAGGCAACGCCGTCTTCGTCAACCTTGCCGTAGCGGGGATCAGATGGGGCCATTTTTACGACCTGAAAAAATAGAGAATAGACTCTCTCTCTCTCTCTCTCTCTCTCTCTCTCTCTCTCTCTCTCGCTTTCTTTCAGCTGACCTCCTCCGTCTGCTCGACGCCTCCACCAAGCGGCGGTAGCTCATCGGCGGCGCTCTCGAAGTGCTTCACTTGGCTTCCGTCTTGGTAATGGCTGGTGTGGCTGTGGACCAGTTGGTCTTTGTCTGAAAAAAACGCTTAAGCTTCGGGTTAAGGAGGTTTATGCTTAGACTTAAGTGTAACCTTGACTTTTAAGCCTACTTTAAAGCAACAAGAAGTTAAAAAGTTGCAAAACTTACCTCTCCTCAGCCGATGTCCACGATGGTGGTGGATGGCCTCGCGCAGGAATGCTCCTGACAAAAATGGTGTGGGATAAAAACACCAAAAATAGGGAGAAAGGGAGAGAGATAGAGAGGGAGAGAGAGAGACAGAGAGAGAGACTAACCTTGTTGGTGATGATTGCACAGATCGTCGCTACACAAATGGCATTCCTCCTCTTCGAATCTGGAGTTGTAGGGGCATTTTGTACCACAGCCTCTCCTTGTCACTAAAGAAATATAATTTACGTCTTTATCGTTAATTTTAGGTATATTATCTGTGATCGATAACGAATATGGTAGAATAATTAGTTTAAGTCGATCAAGATTAATTGAAAATCCAAAAATGTGAGTTAATAAGCCCCAAAAAAGGTAATAAGAAAAAAAAATGTCGCTTCGAACCTGGCCCAAGCAAACTATAACACTGCGAATGTTCGTTATGGCAGGTTTTTACTTCGGCGGCCTCGTTGTCGCAGTCGTGGCAGTGGAAGCACTCGATGGAATAGGTAACTAAATTTTTTCTAAATACGAAGCCGATATTTCTAACCTTGTAGCGTTACCGCAATAACGACCAACCCGACTAACCGCATTTTCCAGGCTAAAAAAATGAATATACAAAAAAAAACGTGGAAATTGTCCTCCATTTCAAAAATTCAACGCTAAACCGGCAAAATGGCACAAGAATCCGGGAGGTCAAATTTGTCGAAACCGAGCACAAACTTTAATACAATATGGGAAGTTCATCACTGATCAGCAAAAGGAACGCCAGGCGGAGGGGGGTGCGAACTTCCGCTTACAAACTGAGGGTACTGGCAGGTGGCATCAAACGAGAGCAAGGGAATTGTATATTAACTTTAGATAATCACCTTGGAGAAGCGGATATGGCATATTTTGTATCGATATTTTGCAAACTGAGGTTCTTTTTAATAATTATTTTTGATTGAAGGGACTGATGGCACCATCGCAATGAATTTGAATATAGTGGGACGAGAGAAAATGAGAGAAAGAGAGAGAGAGAGAGAGAGAGAGAGAAAGAGAAAGAGAGAGAGAGCGTGTGAGAGAGTGAGTGAGATAGATTGAGGGAGTTTGAGAGAGCGACAGCTATACAGTGCGGCAACGTGGGCGTTGGAGAGAGAGAGAAAGAGAGGCAGAGAGAGAAAGAGAGAGAGAGAAAGAGAGAGAGCCAGATAGAGAGACAACATCATAATGATTAAAATTAAATAAATCAACCATTGAATTCTGAAGTAAGAAAACAACAAAAAAATCGATAACCGACCGGCAAACTAACAAGCCGCTGGGCCACCGATTTTCTGGCGCCTCAAAACTTTATCAATATTTTTCGGGGGTGGCGCCGTATAGGCGCCGGGATGAACATGGCATTTTGGCTCAGGTAATGGACAAAGATAAGGCCCCGGGGGTGGGCTGGAGAAGAAAAGGCTATAACCGGAGTGCTGCGTAGCCGGTGTAGGGTGTTTTGGGCGTTAATAAGGGATCTTGAGATTCCGGAATTTTCTGCAATGGTCGGGGTTTTAAATCTTAAAAAATAATATCTATCTAGTCAAATATAATATAATATCAATACTGAAAAATTTGATTTAGTTCGAGTCCTATCGTGGTTTCCCTGTTGGGAAAAACACTTGCTAGCCTACCCTTTCTCATTGCAGTCAAAAAAGCGCCAATTGGCCCTTGCGGAGCCCAAATGGCCTTTGCTAGCATGCCCCTTTTCATCCCATGCAAAAATGGCACAAAGGAAGGGGGTTTCGGATCCCAAACGGCCTTTGCTAGCTTGCCCTTTCAGATTTCCCAGCACCGGGGCATTTTCTTGGCTGGGAAAACAATTTCTTCAATTTGTTTTGCGGATACGCTAAACCAGAAATGATAAAAAGCTCATAATTTACTGAATTCGAATTTACAAAAAAGTCCAAAGAAATTCCCGGAGAATACAGCGAGAGCGATTTTGACAGCTAAACGTTTCCGATTCTTACACCGCGAACCATAGCATTAGAGGGAACGGTTTCTAGGGAATCGATCGTCGAAAATGATAAGCAAAACTCTGAAGAATAAGCTAGATACCGGCCAAAAGAAAAGTTGTAAGCTGGAAACGGTTGCGAACGAAATCGTGAACCGAAACACCACCAAAAACTAAGTTTTTTTTGTCAAAATTGCTCTCGGGGACACTATTTGTTTGCTGTTCCAATAATTTTAATTCATTTGTTGGAAGGCAATATCAAGTGCAGGTTTGTTTTCTGAGTTTCACTTTCTTTTCTGGGTTTAGAAAACACGAACTAGAGGATAAAGAATCGAAAATCGAAAATATACAGAATATGGGTGGTTTTGCCGCACGAAAAAAAGCCAGTTACTAACTAGGTACCTCCCGGTCAATTTGTTTAAAAAACGCAAAACCCAATGTAAATTGTCCGGAAAAATTGACGAAGGATGTTCTCGCTGAAAAGGGCTGAACAATGGGCGCTTCGGGATTGGTCGGCCCCCCGGGGGGTCATTTTCAACACAACCACATCCTCCAAGCTCCGGAGGAAGAAATTGGTCAACATGAAAGTGCGTGTCGGTGCAAAGGGAAGGGCGATAATTGCTAGTCCTGTTTCTCCTTGAAGAGCTGGTCGCACAAAAATTGGACGAGAAACGTTCCCGGAAGTTTTTTGCATAAAGTATTCTCTTGCCCTCTTCCTCTCTCTATCTCTCTCGCTCCTATATATGTCGCTCTTTATCGCTCTCACCCTCTCTCTCTCACCCTCTCTCTCTCTCTCTCTCTCTCTCTCTCTCTTTCTCTATCTCGTTCTCTCTCTCGCCCTCTCTCTTTCTCTCTTTCTCTCTCACTCTTCCTCTCTCCCTCGCTCTCACTCTCTCGCTCTCGCTTTCTTTCTCTTTCGCTCCCTCTATCTATCGCTCTCTCTTTTCCTCTCCCCCGCTCTCTAGCTCTCTCGATACCTGAGTATTTATTGACTATAAATTTAAGAATTGGGAAATTCACAATTGAGAAAGAACATCGTTCAAATCCTCTTCCACTTTGGCGTCCTCTTCATCATCCTCCTTCTCCGCCTCCTCTTTCTCCTTGTCGGCCTCCTCACCCAGCTTCTGGTTCTCCGCATCCGGAACGTCGTCTTCGGGGCGGTCTTCGGCCTGGCAATTGGTATGGAAAGAGAGAGAGAGAGAGAGAGAGAGAGAGAGAGAGAGAGAGAGGGAGAGAGGGGAGAGAGAAGCGCTTACCTTGTCTTCAGTGATCTCGGCCGACCAGAGGTACCTTGTTTCCATATTGCACAAATCGACGCCGGCTTGGATCTGAATAAAAAAAGAATTTAATGATGTTTTACTACCTACCCTCACGTATCCATCCTCACCCCAGAAGTCTCCCCAAGAATTCTTGACGATCCAGTAGGGGACCGTTTCATTGGTTTCCGGGTTCAGCTCCTCACCTAGATTTGAGTAAGAGCTTGCTTTCAGTGAGATAGAACGAAAGAGCGAGAGTGAGAGAGAGATAAAAAGAGAGAGAGAAAGAGAACTCACCCCATCCAACGATTGCCATAGCGTGTCCACCGAGTTTTGGCTTATCCTCGGTACACTGTTCAGTATAAATTCCACCGGCGTATAACGGGAAATCCTCAGTTAGCCACATACCTTAAAATATCAAATTTAAAAGTAATTTTATATTAAATAGTGTTAAATAATGCTCTCAAACAAAAACTATTCGGACGCACCAAAAGCTATCGGTCCGGTGTTCATGATTTCCTGTCTCAGCTCGTTCATGTCGAACGGCATCAGCGAGTAGAACTCGGAGACTTTCACTTGAGGTTTGACCTTAAAAAATAGCATATGGCCTTCACAAAGCCCGAAAATACAAACTACGCCCAGAACTGGGCCTTTGAGGCAAAAAAATCTCCTTCAAACCTTACTTATGACGTCAAAAACGTGGGCAAAATCTTGATTTTCAAATTTCACCAACAACTTTCGCAATTTCCCGTTTCAATCCAAGAATTTCCGGTTACAAATTTAGTACATTGCGCACCTCAATACACTTCTCGTCGGTCGTATTATAGGGGTGATCAGCTTCGTAGCCCACTCCATGCATTTTCGCGTATCCCAGGCTGCCCTCCGGCCATCCGGACCCGCAAACTGACCGCTGGTAGACGCAGTTGTATTGCTGAATTTGATTTTCAACCTTTTACTACTTAGGTTAGAAACGTCAGTATATTATAGCGCCAGTTTTGTAGTAAATCGGCAATTTGAAAATGAAATACATACCTGCTCTGATAGATCCAGTTTATCCCCTCCGTTTTTGATGGCGTAAACGGTTTCGAGGACGGCGTTTGTACTGTAATGGACTGATACAGCAGATTTATGATGATGAATGAAGCGCCGTGGCTGGCTTGGTTTAGATAAACAGAAAACAGAATTTTACAAAAAATTCTAAAAATCGTAGATTGGATGATGGAAATTTCGACGCGAGTTCGGTACAAACCACAGCTTTTTTGGAGTTACTTGAGCTTGTCTGCTTACCTAAACGTCCAGCATGAGGAGCACGTCTCCTGGATCTTCACGTCAGTCGTCTAGATTTAACAAGGTTTTGGTCTACCATAAAACTTAACCATTCCCTTCTCGACCCAGCTGAAGTTTGTCGGCATTTCCGAGGCTGATACTTGCTAAAATTATGTGATAGTTATACCTTTGTTTCAGGAGGAGCTATAAAAATGCAAACCTATTAAATATATTAATATATTAATGTATACAGATATATTAATGTTCCATAATTTAGAAGGTTATACCCGATTAAACCGCCGGCCATGTCCGCCACGGCCGCCATGAGAACCGTGTCGCCGCGCGTTTTTCGGTTTCCACAAATTCGAGTGTTCCGGTTGATGGTTGACCGGCTCGAGCATCTGAAAGGTACGGTATAAAAGGTGGAAAAATCGATATTTAGATGTTAACTGCTAACACCGTATCAGTATAGAAAAGCTCGTAAAACCCTATCGTCTAATTTTGGAAAGATTTAGGATAACTTATACCCTAGTTGGACATTTATTTTTCTCTTTTTATTTTGATAAACTAGCTATTTTCAAATAATTTTAGCTTAAAATTATATATTCAGAAAATATCTGGGTATCTGGATTTCATAAAAGCCTAAAACCTACGCTCTTGAACTCGTCATCATCCAAATGCATGTAGGGGTGCTCGCCCAGCTTGAAGAGCGGGCGGTGACGACCGTGACGCTTCAGGAATTCCTGCCGTTTCCGTCGCAAACGCTCATTATTACGCCGAAAGTGCTGTGCGTGACGTTCCAGCTTCTTTTCGTCGAAATTTTTGCGGAATCTAAATTTTTTAAGTAAAATTGGTCGAAGCTGGTTTCCAGACTGTTTTTTTAGGTTTTTGTCAGAAATCCAGTCGTTTTGGCCTTGTTTATGCCTCTAAAAATTTGGATAAAGATCGTATGATGAGCCTTATTGACGGGAAAACGCAATGGTACCGGCAGCAAAAATGCCGACAAGCAGAATACCGACACCTAAAATCCCCAGATGCATAATACCACCACGGAAAATAATTGCTTCAGGATTTTTGCCTGCCGGGATTCTGGCTGTCGGTATTATGACCTCGGAATTTTGGTTCTTCGATTCTCTAATAACTCCGTATACCTCACCTCATCCCAAATCGCGAGAAATCCTTGGCATGCTCGCCCAGCTGATCCTGGATATGACGAGGGACTTTCCGGAAGTCGTGGAAACGTCCGGGACGATGGTCTTGGCCTCTCTGGAAGCATTAATGAGCTAACTGATCTCATTAGATATACCTACACGTCTAGCTCCTCGCTCATGAAGTCTGGCCCCGATACCACGACCCCCCGGTCGATGCAAGTGAGCTCGTCTTCTGGCGATTAACTGCGACCTCAGACTGTGTATTCTTCGACGAGCATTTGCTAGCCCTCGACCGGGGTGACGTCCTCGAGGACCTAAAAAAATTGATAAGTGGCGCTACGCGGCTGTACAAACAACAAACTACGATAAACTACAACTCGTTCAGGCTACAAGATACAAGATACGAACTTCAACCAATTTATCCCCGTAGCTATAGCAATTTTGGAACTACAGGACCTAATACTCCTAACTACAGCAATGCGATAATTTTAACAGTACGGACGCGCTACCACTGGGCTACAAACTACAAGGACAGGCCGTTATCTACAGACTACCACATCTACATCTACATCTCTAGCTAGGAAACGCCACGCTACAAACTTAAACTTTGCCGCTAAAAACCAAAATCGGGAAATCTTCGAAAACTACAAACTACGAAACCCAAGCACGATACATACAACTGGAAGCTACAATGCTGCAAGGCAACAAGTTGCAACATCAAGGCTACACATCAAACAATACAAACAAGATAATATAGACATTTAGGCTAAAAACTAAAAATCATTCACTCGTCCGGGGTATGCTACAACGGCTATAAGACCTACCTCCTCTCCTCGGTCCTCCTCGCGCCTCCAAAAGCACGACCAGCACGACCAGGAGGAGCGCCAGATGGATGAGGCGCATCACCTGAAATACCTCTGGATTAAAGAGACTAGGAAGTCCCAGAAACTACCCCTTCCGTTGCCTAGATCTCGACAGCTACGCGACTCACCAAAATAAGAGCTCAACTGGAATCGCAATTTCGCAAACTTTCAAAATTTTTGCAAACAATTATAAATCTGACTACATAGTGAGTGTAAGTGTAATTTGAAGCGCCGCGTAGCAGTCGACGCTAGTCGGGGTAGGGCGTCGATCAAGCTTATTAGCTTCTTTATCCGGGTCGTAAATGAAAAACAAAAGAAAAATTAAATCCAGTTAATGTGATGTCCAATCCGAATATCATAAGGACCAAAAACCCAGCTAAAAATGGCAGGCGTGGGTGTGAGTGATTTTTCAGGGTCATCTTTATCCCTTTCCGCCCAATAATCCAATTGATATTCGCCGGATAGAGCGGCTTGTTCGCCGCGTAGCTCTCTGGAACTTTTCAAGGACGCCGCCGCGGCCCATGGGAACCAGTGAAAAGTGGCACCAAAAATTGTGGGCCCGAAAATAAAACGTTAGTCTAGACCCCGGCCAGGCCTCGGCCTGACAAAGCATTGTCTGTAGGTGCGTATGGAAATTTGCTTTGAAGAGGTCGATTTTGTCACTTTTTCAAGCGCGGTTTACAGCACCCGGAGTGAGAGAGCGAGAAAGAAAGAGAGAGAGAGAGAGAGAGAGAGAGAGAGAGAGAGAGAGAGAGAAAGAAAGAGAGTGAGTGAGAGAGAGCGAGAGAGAGAGAGAGAGAGAGAGAGAGAGAGAGAGAGAGAGAGAGAGAGAGAGAGAGAGAGAGAGAGAGAGAAAGAGAGAGAGAGGGACGTCAACCGCAAAATTCAAATTGAGCCCAAACCCTTCGATAAACAATTAACATACTAACTAACATACGGGGGCATCTGATTAGCATGAACAATTCCGAAAGCACGCGATTTCTCGTCATTGCACCACTATCATTTCATATCATTCCGCGCCCGATGGGTCATCGTCCCCGCCGCGCTGCATCATCCGATGCCTACACTCGGCCGTTCTTCTGGCTTCTGCTTCTCTGCGCCATCCCCATCGTCATCAGTCAAGCCGATAACCAGTAAGATAACTTGTCGCTACAAAAAACAACTTTAAAAAAAACCCAGACTACGCGGTTTGTAAGCGAATTGGCCCTCGCTACGCAGCTTCACGCCGTTTTTCGACCTTGTCTTTTGATGCCATCTGAAAGAGCATGATCGAATTAGCACAAATTAAAAGTTCAAATCTTTATTTTTCGAGAATCAACAGGGCGTTAAAGTTGCTGATCGATCTATCTATGAAGTTATTGGGCCGAATGGTCGCCAAAAACCGTCTAAGGTCGATCAGCCTTTTGATGGCCTTGCGTATTTTATCCCACCTTATGCCAAGGCAGAGTCGACATGCTTAGAACATTTATGGAGATGCAGAGATTTGTACTGCCTTACAGAAACACGGACGCCTCCCCTGTGCCATCGCAAGATCCCCCAGCAGTACCGGCCAGTCCTCCGGTCATCCCGGTGAAGCCACCACCGCAGATCGTTAATGGGCAAATTTAGTGCAAAGCCAAACGTCCGTTTCTATGCTATGTCTACCAGGCCCTCGACCAGCCCTTTCCCGACTGGCTTCAACAGACCGAACAGAAGGTTTTTGTCTCCATGCTTCCAACATAATACCTTACTGTTTTTAGTGTGAACGTTGCGACTCTGACAAAGTTTGCGCGCTCGGCTCCCCGATCGGTGGCCATGGTAACGGCCGCAGACTGACGGTTCATCTAAACTGTGCTCCGCCATTTTGTGTAGGGAATTCGCGTACCGCCCATGAATGTTTGCTGTTTTCAGAACGAGGAAAACGATATGTCTGAGGGAACTGATTGCATCAAGGCCGTCAACTTCGATGGGGACCAGCGAGGTATTTATGCAAAATCTTTGGGGACCAATTTTTTCCCATCGGTTCCTATCGCACTTCGCTAACTAAGCCTGGCTATCATTCTGGCATTACGAAACGGAGAGCGGAAATTTTGCTAGAAATGGGCGCGAGTCGCATCTGATCGGACCCTGCCCCGAATACTAGGCTCTATTTTTCGTCCCTAATTCTCATTTTCGGTAAGACTCTAGTTTACCTCCCCAGCCCTAACTTTTCAGCCGTGCGTTCCTATTAATGCGTGGAGTATTTCAAAATGTTCGCCGTGGTCGAATTACTATAAAAAGTTGTTTTCTTGCGGCAAAAATTGCTAGAAATTTTTTTATAAGATTTTGAAAGTTTAAAAGATTAAGCCGCCGTGCTTCAATGTGCCAGGAGTGTAAAACTCAATATTTTTGTTTTTAGCTATTTTTTTTGACTCATACGTACTGTAGGCTTATTCTACAGAGCAATAGCTACATTTTGGTACCATTGACAGCTCTGTACGACGAAAGATGGCCGAGATACGAAAACTCACTTTGGAACGGCAAAAATTAACTAAAAAAAACGCAGACTTATAATTGTTATAAAAATTTTTCCAACAATTTTGGATGTACGAAAACAACTTTTTTCTAGTAATTCGACGACGGGGAACATTTTGAGATACTTGACGCATTAATATGACGTATGGCTGAAAAGTTACGGCTGGGGGGTAAAACTAGAGTCCAGCCCTCATTTTCAGTCATGATTTTCGTCATTTCGGGATCCACAGGGTTGAGTTGAACGAGACATATTTGAATTTTAAGCCTAAAATTATTTGAATTGATAGTCCAAAAAATTATAGAAACTTCAATCTGAAGAACGAGAGTTCCTTTTTTCAAATTTGCGGTAATATAGGTATCTCTCTCGCTCTCTCTCTCTCTCTCTCTCTCTCTCTCTCTATCTCTATCTCTCTCTCTCTCTCTCTCTCTCTCTCTCTCTTCTCTCTCTCTCTCTTGCTCTCTCTTCCTCTCTTAGAGCTCTGCGTGAAGCTATCAGCACTTTTTCAGGAAATGTATTTTTCCCCTTCAACCTTTGTACCCGTGAAATGGTGGCATTTGGAGACTGCAACGCCAAGCCACTGTAGACGTTTTCATCTGAAATCAGTGAACGTTTATTATTATAGGAGCAAGAAAGCCTTCGTGCCAACCGCCGGCGCACTGATGTTCGACTACATGGCGCAATGCGATGCTGGTTTCATAGTCCCAAGGTATGTGACGCTGTTTATCGAAGAGACAACACACTGTTTAGCCTAGTCGTCAAGGCCGCTAACCAACATACAGGAAGCAGCCAAACCCGTCCTGCATCGACTTGCGTCCCAAGCCTCCAACAAGCCGCCGGCTACTTGAAAGATGATCCGTCACCCCCTCCACCACTATCCATACGATGTTGCCGATCTCAAAGACTTTGAGGTGAGATGTGTCAATCGAATTAGCAACTTCTATTCATTCCAGTATTGCGAGAAAGGAGGGCGTCCGAGCAAGACAAGTTTGTGCGAACCGCTACCACTCTGCATCGACGACAACAAGACACCGTGGGCGATCGAGCAACCCATATTGAGTTTTAGACCCACCTCGACATTCACATCGAAGGAAGTGAAACTTGCCACGGAATGTGAATTTCCATGCAAGTATCAATACGGTCGAATGGAATACAACGACTGTGTCTTTCTCGACATTGTCAATGCGAGCGCTAGGAAATTCTTTTCGGCGAGGCGTGCAATGGTATTCTCGCATTTTAAACGTTTAACTCTCGTTTTAGTCGGGCCCATATGCCGTATTCATGGATGAAGAAGAGAATGTGAAAGTACACATTGTACTCAACACAGGCAAAAAGCCCCGCTGCGATCAGGAACTCTCGCGACACGGACAGCGGAGAAACAATTCGTTATCCTAGATGCATTAATTCGATCAAATTGTCGGCAAGTTTTGGCTAACGTTTTATAGCTCCGTTCATCGAGTAAAAAACTCTGATTTTCAGCCAGATGATCGCAAACGGGTGGACGAAGATTTGATGCTGAACTGCGCGACAAACATCTTCGTGCAGACACTTGGTGATGCGGGATTGATGATTGAACCACCACTCTGTGAAGGATATGAGGACATCGTGAGATTTCCTTTTTTTCTGTTTATTTTTTACATCAGGGTTTACTGATTCTACAAGGTAATGGTCACGTTTCAGCGGATCTGCTGGAATCGCACCAAGCCTGTTACTGCGAGCACTGGGACCCCGTTGCTACCACCCGAACAGTGGCCGCCGTCTTGGCTATACTGTAAGTTTTGGGCGACCTGATAAACTGAACTGGGCAGGTTTTTAGTCCCGCTTTGTCCCAAATTTTGCGAATTAAGGCAATACTAAACCTTCGGTTAACTTTATGAAAAAAATGGGCGCTAATCGGTAGCTTCCCTTCCAGGGTCGTCTCTGGTGCTCTTCTTCGTGGTTCTCGGTGGTGGAGCCGGCTGGTGGTTGGTGATTTAACGGCGAGCTTCCGGTTTCCGGCAAGACATTTGCGAGTGCTTTGTCGGATTCCAGGTATTGCTTCGGCCGTACCGTGGCGCTACCATTCTTGCGTCCCTACGAGGGCATAGATGTGTCGCTTGAGTTGCAAACCGTTGATGGAAACTGGCTCGATGCTTTCGACGAACGGGTAGGCATACAAAGGTTTCCCTTTAGTAGCGGAACTGTTATTTTGGTGAGGGCGACGGACGTCTTACTTATCTATCGGCACTTTATTCCAGATCACCGCCAAGCGCAAGTGGCGCAAACTCGGCAGGAAGATCCGATTTGCTGAAACGGGTCACGTGGCGCTGCACGCTTATCCGGAGACTTTGGTGGGGATCTGCACGTGTGTGTGGTCTGCACGAATTTTGCGGACGGGCAGCAGGCGAACTACGTCCCGCTTATTTAGCCGTAACGTACATTTAGCCGGCACGCGACGCCATCCCGCCGAAAGACGCCACGGTGGCTGGCACAGTGAGCGTCTGCAAATCCTCGTTTCAACCAGCATATTTAGCCTCAACAAGCCACCAATTCGACGTCGGCGGATACCAGTGCCGACAAGGTAGCGTTTGCGAATTGGTCGTTTTCCTTTTACTTATAAAGCTTTTTCTTAGAAGCCTAAGCCTAAGCATAATCCTAAGGTTGAGGCTAAGCCCAATCCTAAGCCTACGCCTACGCTTCGCTTTTAGCAGGGCCTGCGGCTTCGGGGCTGCGGCTGTAAATGTTTTAACTACGAGTGTTGAGCTTCTAAATGTATAAACAACAAAATTAAAAAGGAATATTTCAAAATGTTTGACTCTGTGGTCAAAAATGTATGAACAATATTCAAAAAAAGTAAAAATTTTCAAGTTTTCGAAGTTTTTAATGTACTTTTGTACTTTCTAGCAATCAAAAACTTCTATTCTAAAAGCACCATGAAAGTACATAATATATCACCAACAGGCAGGTAGAGGTGAAGAAACAGACAGTGCCCCGCCCCGTTAACAGTCCAGAACCCTGAGGTTCCACAACTTTTGAATCCGGATTCGGAATCAACGAAAAATTCTGCACAAGTTGTGCTATATACCGTATCGAAAACCAACGGTCACGACGAAAACGGTTACAGCCAGGGAATAGGGTTTTGTTACGGATCTCCTCTCAACCGTTTCAATTCCAGAACACGGTCTCTGGCGAGGTGAAGGCGGCCCTCAACGATCCGGTCGCGGTCGCAAGGAGCATCATGCGCCGCTTAGCTAATGCCAAGTCGATTTGCCCAAGGCCGGATGGCCGAAAAGTCGTGTTCGGTTCCATTTTCATACGACACGTTACAGGATACTCCAAATTTTCTCATCGATGAGCTGCTGGTGATGTTCAAGCACGCCAAGGAGATCGTGGCAAAGCAGCGCGGTGTTGTCCACATTAGTGGCCCCGTCTGGTTCGTCGGTGATCTGATGGGAGATGTGAGCGCCGTTTTTTTTGCACAAGATGTGTGCGATTTCATATGGTTTGGCTGTTTAGTTTTGCACGGCCTGGCGGATCTTCAATGCCTACTCGACGAGGGCCGATCCTGGGACAAAGTAAGGGCGGGGGGTCCTAGCGCCCTTTTTCCGCTGCTTTCGGGCGCGAACCACGTGTATCCCGTTCTACAAACCCAAGGATACCACTGATTTTTTCGTTCCGGAGCGTTCGTCCCTAACTTCTACTATGGCAACTGCCATAGGTTTTAAGACTACAGGGTGTCCCATAAAAAAGCCCACCTCCGGCATTTCGCCGTATCACATCCGATCGGTCCGGAATTTGGACCAGAGGTGTATCAGACCCTAAATAACCACAATCCTGAGTTATAGCCCGCCAGTTACAGTAATCTTCGAGATACAACAAAAATAAACTTTATTATCCGTTTTTCATATGGTTTTCGTCGAAATCGACCCTTCGAATATTAAGTGAAAATGAAACGGCAAGCCTGCTTTACCCCTAGAGATGGCCTTGCCTAAAGCCCTTTCCGCGGTTTTTTCGAATTATCGGGGGGTCTCAGTCTCGTAATGTCTAGTAACCCTTGAATAGTGTTAGTAAACATAACAATACTTCAACTTTCAACAAAGTATCTATTTCGCTATCTAACCATCTAAACAGACCAAACTTAAAAATTGGGACTAATTGAGAATTTGGTGAAAAACGGTCATTTTTGGTCGAAAAATCGATATTATTTACATTTTTTAATAAATTTTGCCCATTTTTCACATTTAGGACTACTCAAAAACCATTTATAAACACCCCAACCATCTAATTTGAAAATTGAAATTCTAAGAAAAAAGTTGCCGCCTGATAATGCGAAAGAACCTTTTCCGCAATTACGGACGTAAAATTTGGGATAGAAGATCTAAGAAGGCCGTCGGCGTCATTCAACCCCGTTTCAGAATACTCTTCATGGGAAACGTTTTTGGTCAAGATAACGAAAAGCTTCCCGCTCTCGCTCTCGTTGTTGCCTCGATGATTCTCCATCCGAAATCGGTAAATAGTTTATAAAGGGAAAGAAGACCACCACCGAGCTGTTTATGATTACGATTTCAGGTTTTCTACCTGTGCGGCAGCTACGAGGCGGATCAGAAGGGGTTCCCGATTGTAAGACCTTGCAAGCACCCCAAAATGCTTTTCGTGCCAGAAAGGCTGCACCGGGGACAACCGAGATGGTTTGATCAAGGAGATCGTCGAGTTTCTCCCGTGTCTCCCGCTTTACGCCATCATCGACGGCCGTATTTTGGCGATGCATGGCGGGATCAGTGCGTTACTTTTGCATTTCTGTCGACGGTTCTGGCAGCCCCGTTAGCCTCGTAATCAAATATGGAGGGTTTTTACATTGTTTTTAGCACATTTTCTCTATATTTACAGTACAAAAAATTTCAAAAAAAAAGTTAGAAAGGCGTTTGAAAAAGCCGAAAATTTTTTCCTTAATGTTTGACTTCAGAGATCTCAGTTTTGGCAAAAATCCTTTAAATCGATATAACTTTTCGAGGAGGGAATTTCCGTCAAAACTAATCATTAAGCTTCACATTTATTTTTAATTCTCTATAGTTTTATGTATTTTACATATCGATTTGCGACATGGATCAACGGGACTGCCCATGTGAATTTGACCGTCTTCCAGGCCCGGAGCTGAAGTCGGGAGACCTGCGCAGGGGATTCGACCCAACTGGCGGCCGATCCCAAGAACTCCGTCTCGCTTCTCTCACGAGTGATCCGAACTTCTTGGTGAAAGAGTAAGCCTTTTGCTGCTCGAGAAGTGACGCCAAGATCTCACAAAAAATGCTTTTTCAGATACGCGAACAAGAAGGGTCCGGGATACGTGTATGGCTTCGACGCCGTCAACGCGGCTCGTAAGGCGCTCGGCGTTGACTTCATCATCCGTGCCCATCAGGTCAGCACACAGCTAGACATCACTGGTTCTGGACTGTTAGCGGGCGGGAGGTTAGCGGGGGAAAACCAAATTTTTCCCTGTGGCTCTCTACGGCCTTACATAGCTAAATATAAACCATTTTTATAGCATTTTACATAGTTTTTATATATAAAAAGAATATAAAAAGAATACGAATAATCACTATAACAACTTTTCAAACATTTTGACCATTTTCGAAAAGAACGTAACGATTTTTAAGACATTTTTGCAATTTTTGTAATCTGTGTTTTATTGCGAAAAAATTATGTAATTCCCTAAAAGGGTATATTTTTCGCTAGAAAGCCGTACGGGATTACAGGGGTTTAGCACGGCTGGACCCTAACGGTCCCATGCCCGCAAAAACCGTCTGAAAACGTTAGAATTGCACGGCTCGAAAATTCTACTGTATTTAGGCGACCAATGTCGGCGTCCGGTTTTTCGGAGAATGGCTGCTCTCCCTGTATTCACAGGTGGAGCAACGAGACGCGGATGAGGTTGGAAAAAAAGTGGTCGGTTTTTGGTTTTTTTTTTTGGATTCTACAGGCTACGCGGGGGCTTACCCTTTTTTGTATTTCTTTTTCTACAAACAAAATTGTTAGTATATTTTTCGACGTTCTATCGCAATTTTGAAAAATATCGAAAATCGACGACTCGAAAAACCTTTTTCATTCCATGTCCTCTTTGGAAACGTTTACTACTTACTTTTGCCATAACTGTTTTATATTACACCAGGGTTGAAAAGCCGCTTCGCGACTTTTCAACCCTGGCTCTGTTTTGGACCAATGAAAGTTTACACTTTGCATAATTCGGTCCGACCCATGCTAAAAAAATGAAAAATGCGTTCTCTGCTCCTTTACCTACCGCCACTTCCGGTGTATGCTAATTGATTCCTAACAAAGAGGGTCTCGGATTTTTCAACAAAAACTAAAATTTAATGTCGAAAATAAGCCATTTTGATAAATTTGATATGCGTGCAGTCATCTCGAGCCCATTACGCATCTAATGACGTATCAAACATGCCCCTAACTACTCTCCTTCTTGAGATACGACTGGAACACGCTGACGGAAGTTGCATGCAAAGTGGCACACACACACACAAACACTATTTTTTTATATATAGTAGGATTATGTTGAACGAAAATTAAAACGCTTAGTATAATTTTCAAACCTCTATCGAATGGCCTTGCAAAAAACCCGAGATAATGACGAAAATATCGAAAAAGAAAAGGCCTGTTCTGCCCCCCCTTCCCCATGTAGCATACAACATACAGGGTGTCCCAAAAAAAACGAACCATCTGGCATTTCGCCGTGTTACATCCAATCGGTCCCAAATTTGGACCAGAGGTGTATCAGACCCTAAATAACAACAATCCTGACTTTTAGCCCCGTAGCTACAGTCGTTCTCGAGTTATAACTGAAAATACTGCTTTTCCCGGAATCCTGAACGTTTTTTCGGCTATCTTTGCTGGACTTTGCATCGATTTGCATCGACTTCCGGCTGCGAATCCCCAATTTCGCTTAGAACCTGGGTAATTTTGCGTTGTAAAAAATCGCATAAATCGAAGATTATTTAATTAATTTTACTCTGGAAAAAATTCCTTAAGGTAAAGGACGCCTTCCGGGTCATTTTCATTTAATGTTTAGAGGGTCTAATTCGACGAAAACCCTATGAAAAATAGAAAATAAAGTTTGTTTTTGCCATAACTCGAGAACTACTGTAGCTACGTGGCTATAAGTCAGGATTGTTGTTATTTAGGGTCTGACCCTCTCGTCAAGTGAGACATTAGATGCTACACGGCAGAATCTGGGTAATTCGTTTTTTGGGACACCCTGTATACCTAAAAGCGTTTTTAGCGTGTTTTAGTGCAAATAAACCCGCGTGTTTAGCGGGAGCAGCCGCTGGGAGCCGTGCTGCAATATGATGTCACCTCCAGTTTCACCGCCATCCACTTCCTGAAACTCGGACGCAAGATTGACAGTAAGTCTTCATACATAGATAACTTGCCTTGACAGCTTTTTGTGATTTTTAGCGAGAGCAAAAAGCTTACAACAAAATTAACAATCTTTTTGAAAATTTTTGGCTTTTTGATGAAAGTTATGAAAAAATTAAACCAAAAACGTAACAAATCCCGATTTTTCAAAATTAAAAAATATTTTTATAACATCTTAGCAACACTTTTAGCAAAACTTTTAAAACCGTGATAAAATACACTATTTATTATCAACAGGCAGTTATAATAAAAATTAGCTCCCCCGTTAAACGGGAATCTCCGATAACAGCCCAACGCTCTGTTCGCAGCCGCCGGTGTCTTCATGCAAGAATTCGACTACCTTGCCTGTCGCGACAGGGCCTTCTCGGAAGCGGGCGTGGTGGGTGTATGCACAACGGTTTTTCTGGCAATACTTTCTTCATGTGCATGACTTTTGTTGGTTTGCAGATGGCTGGCGCCGTCAGTCCCCCGAAGCCACAGCCTAAGCCCAGCCAAGAACTGCCGAGCGCCCCGGAAGAGGAGCCGGAAGAGGTTCGGGCCGTAGGGCCTATAACCGGCACATTTATGCATCTTGTCCCACTAAAAAAACACCGCTCTAACTCGAAGCAGAGGTATCGGATCGGAATAATTGTTGCACCATTCGAAAACGCTTGAAACAGTGATCTTACAACAATCTTCAAAACCGTTTGCTTTGAATGCGCATTTTACAAGTTCATTCGCAAGATTTTTAAAATTCCAGAAGTCGTATTCGGGCTAATTTGCCTCAAGTTTATCAAAAAAAATAACCGAAAGCCGCGGTCAATTAAATGCGGGCGGCATTTCGTTACTTTCAGTGCGCTGTAAAACGACGCTTTTATATTGAAAAAATCGTTGTGAAGATGGTTGCGAACACGCCGTTTTACGGGTCGGCTCTTGAATCATTCCGAACCGATACTCTTTTACGTGTCGAGTTAGGCGGGCGATTTTTGATTGGGACTCCCTAGAAACTTTTCTCCTATCGAACCATTTTTCGTGGCCGACTTTTTCAAACACTTTTCTGTTTTTTTTCCAAGGTTTTCTACTTTAAATATAGTTAAAGACTGACTAAGCATAGTACAGAAAGCTTTTATATCTGATGAATACTCATGCGCAAATGAAACGGTGGTTTTCCTGGTGCCGCAGCTAGCAAGAAGTACGATGTTTTTTTACAGGATGATGTCGCTTTGGGGCCGGGAATGGAGGGCACCAAATGAATACGTTCTCGCCGCTACGCCAAAACCCTTAACTCCCGCTCCACGGCAGCTGTGGCGGTGTGACGGGCCGTATGGCTGAGGGGCCCCACAGATGCCTCCGCATAATGATGCCGACTTTGAATAAAAACTTGCAATATATTCTGGACATTGCATCAATCGCACCGAGCCAAACAGCAACAACGAAACAACATGTCACTCGGTACACACGAACAGGAGCAGACTAGCTCGGGAAGTCCAAAATACCCGCAACACGGATCGGGCTGGAAATATGCACACTTATAGGGTCGGCCACGCTAATCAACGCCTCGGTTTCCGAATTTGCTTCAGTGTCACAAAATTTGCGGGATTTGGGTTGTAGTGTCATTCCTAGGCGCCTGAGAAGTGTTTTGTCTCGATGTCGAACTTGTTTGTTTTCATTTCTGTAATCATTTTGAATTTACTAGCTAGAAATTTTTTCGGATTCGACCAACCGCTTCCAGCGGCTTCGCCGCTGCAAGCATCGGGACTTCGTGCACCCCTGCGACCTGCGACGAATGCGCGACCTGGCTCACTCTGTCCAAAATCACCCCAACCTCCGTCCCCCACCCCTTTTACTAAGGAAAAACTTTCAAAGTTAAGTTTAACAATTTAAACTAAAACTTTTTTAGAATTTTTTAATAGTTTGGGAGTTTCTGTCCGCGCTCCATCCGAATCCGAAGAGAGCTAAGCTCTAGATCTTTCCTCCTTCGAGTTGAATTCGGCTTCGGACGGACGGACAGACAGACGCGTCAAGAAAATTATTATAGTTGATTAGTATATTTTATTAGCGCACGGAAGCCCTGGAAGCTATCATACAGCTGTTTTAAGTAGGCTGTTTTTCACCGTTTCCAATACAAAAATCGGCGTCCATACCTTCCTCCTATCGTCGATTTATTCACTTTTTCCACTTTTCGAACATTTTGAGTTTGAGGGCGCATTCGAAAGAGAAAATTTTTCTGAATACGTTGGCGATGCTTGTTTTTCCGCGGTCTGCCAGAAACATCAAAATAATCGGGTCTGCCGTTCAACAATTTTAATTAAAGAATCGCCTTAAAATGTTACGATCCCAAAATTTCAAGCTCTTTAGCAAATTAGGAAAACGCGGCGATTATCAGCGTGGTCGATTCTGTAAGCGACTTCGCTTCTGGGGCACCCTGTTGACCCTACCGGCAGCCCGGAGAAAAAGGTGCATCAGCGACTTCATAAACAATTAACATACGGCAGCGTTTGATTAGAACTGAATAATGGGAGATGCAGTAGTTTTCTCGTCATTTTACCGCCATCTTTTCATATCATTCCGTGCGCCCGATGGGTCATCGTCCCCACCCCGCTGCATCATCCGATGCCTACACTCGGCCGTTCTTCTGGCTTCTGCTTCTCTGCGCCATCCCCATCGTCATCAGTCAAGCCGATAACCAGTAAGATAATTTGTCGCTGACTGCGGCATCCCATTCGCACGCCCGGGGTGTTGAGAGAAACATCCCCCCCCCAGCCGGCACCCAACTTTTGTATCTCGTCTGCCTGTTCATCTACATGTGTGTAAAGTATACCAAAATGTTCGTCTTGCTGTGGCGAGTATTTTGGTATACTTTACACACCTGTAGATGAACAGGGTTTTGAGATCCGGTAGGTGGGGTCGGCTGGGGGTTATCTGGAGTTTAGCCAGCCAATTAGTAAGCCAACCGCAACTCCAACAAGGAATCGTCGCATTAACCGTTTAACATTTTGGCCTAACGCCTACCCTACCCTGTAGGCCTAAACGGTGCCGAACTGAAACACACTTTTGGATCCCTTTCAGGACCAGTAACGTCTCCGATGTGCCAGTTCAAGATCCTCCGAGCAGCACAGCCGGTCTTCCAATCGTGAGCGACTGCTGCATATTCTGGAAAGGGCAAACTTAGTGCGAAAATCCGCGTGCATTCCTTTGCTATGTCTACGAGGCCCTCGACCAGCCCTTTCCCGACTGGCTTCAACAGACCGAACAGAAGGTTTTTAGCTTTATTAAGAAAACATGGCCGTTAGTGTGAACGTTGCGAATCGCCGGAAGTTTGCAAGATCGGCGCCGTGATCGCTGGCCATTTGGACGACGACCACGACCACAACCGACTGTCGGTGTATGATGAATGTCATCCGCCATTTTGCGTAGGCAATTCTGCTACGGCCCATTATTGCCTGCTGTGTTCAGAAAGATGAACAGGACATGTCAGAGGACACCAAGTGCATCAAGGCCGTGAATTTCGACGGGGATAAGCGAGGTATTTTGGAAAACATCCGAAATCTCATTTGGGTGCTAACAAAGACTTCAACCTTCGAAGTGATTTTAAGCAGCTGAGAGTTAGCGTCGAAAGCTCCTTTTAAAATTATCAGATGGAATTTAGCAACGCATTTTCAGGAAAAGTCTTGTTCCCCTTCAACCTTTGTACCCGTGAAATGGTGGCATTCGGTGATTGCAACAACAAGTCACTGTAGAAGTCTTCATTTAAATTATGAATTCTAATTACAGGAGTACGATAATATTTATGCCGACTACCGCTTCATTAACACCCGACTACATGGTGCAATGCGATGCGGGTTTTACAGTCCCAAGGTATGGGAAGCTATTTCCTAAAGAGACAATACATTATTTAGCCTGGTCGTCGCCGTAATTGCGGCATATAAAGGCGGCCCCTTCCACTGGCCATCATATACTTGCATACCGAGTCTTCAACAGACCGCTGGATACTTCAAAGATGATCCGTCACCTCTTCACAACTATCCATACGATGTTGCCGATCTCAAAAACTTTACGGTGGGATGTGTCAATCGAATCAGCAACCTCTATTAATTCCAGTATTGCGAGAAAGGAGGGCGTCCGAGCAAGACAAGTTTGTGCGAACCGCTACCACTCTGCGTCGACAATAACAAGACACTGTAGGGAATTGATTGGAGTATGGTATTTCTTTTGTAGTCCCCCTCGCCATTCACATCGAAGGAAGTGAAACTTGCCACGGAATGTGATTTCCATGCAAGTATCAATACGGTCGAATGGAATACAACGACTGTGTCTTTCTCGACATTGTCAATGCGGCGCTAGGGATTCTTTTCGGCGAGGCGTGCAATGGTATTCTCGCATTTTAAAGATATAACTCTTATTTTAGTCGGGCCCATACGCCGAATTCATGGATGAAGCAGAGAATGTGAAAGTGCACATTGTACTCAACACTACTACGACTAATACCACCGAACCACCCGCTGAAACGAGGCACTCTCGCGACACGGACAGCGGAGAAAAGATTCGATATCCCAGATGCATCAATTCGATTAAATTGTCGGCAAGTTTTGGATAGCATTTTATAGCTCCGTTTATCGAGTAAAAAAGAAAACAAAGCGTTTCTTTTCAGCAAATTGATCGCGAACGGGTAGAAAATGATTTGATGCTGAACTGCGCGACAAACATCTTCGTGCAGACACTTGGTGATGAGGGATTGATGATGGAACCACCACTCTGTGATGGGGACGACGACATTGTGGGATTTTTTTGGTTGTATTGTCAATTCGGAGAGGGTTTACTAGGTATTCTACAAGGCAATTGACTACGTTTCAGCGAATTTGCTGGAATCGCTCCGAGCCTCTGATTGAACGCAATGACACCGCATTGCCCACACCAGAGCAGCAGTTTCCCTATTGGCAATACTGCAAGTTTTAAATCCGTTCATCAATCAACTAATGAATCTAGCCTGCCGATTCCAAGAAATTTGTGGTTTTTAGACGCAGGGGGCGTTGTGACGCTATTGGCTGTTCTTGTGCCCGCCGGCTTCTTATATCACAAGTGAGTTAACTGGTTAACTGAAGAGTCAGAATTCGGGAAACCATTTGGGAAAGTGATTGCCGCAGATCGATTCGTGATCGGGGCTATATTGTAGGAAGCGCTCATCGAGGCTGGGGGCTCTCCCGCTGCCGGAGGTCCAAAAGGCCGAGAGCATCGAACTGCGCGATGAAGATACGGAAGGGAATTGGATGGTTGACTTTGACAGAGTTGTAGGTTTTGCTATACAGGGTGTCCCAAAAAAAAAGACACCGGCCGCATTTCTCTATTTCGGGTCCGATCGATTTGAAATTTTGCACAGAGGTAGCGAAGCCAATTTCCCATGAACACAGAAAGTTTCAACCCGATCGGTCGGCAGATTTTCCCGCTATAGCGAAAATACTTTTTATTTTAGTCAATATGGGGACTTCTGCAATTTGCATCGAAAATCTGCGTAGTTTTGTAATTTACGAGCTGATTTTGCATAATTTTTGCCGAAAAATGCCATTTGCTGTTTTGCGCTTCGCAAAAACGATTGCGCATGAGAAACAAAATAAGGTGAAAACAACCGTTTTTTGAGCACCTAAACACATTTTATTGAAGTTTTGGTCAGTTTGATCTGTCTCGTCCTCGACACAGCGCTCGACGGGCGCCAAATTAATACTTAAATTAAAATGGAGGCTTTAAGCCTATGCATAAGCCGAAAAATAAGTTAAATCAAACGGCGAATGTATGTTACAATCCAGGTTTCTTGTATCTGACGGTTTTGTGGACCCTATTTACTTCCCATACGCAATCGTTTTCACGACGCGCAAAACAGCAATGGTATTTTTGGCAAAATTTATGCAAAACCAACTCGTAAATGACCAAATGACGCAGATTTTCGATGCAAATCGCAGAAGTCCCCATATTAAATAAAAAATAAAAAGTATTTTCGCTATAGCCGGAAAATCCGCTGACCGATCGGGCTGAAACTTTCTGTGTTCATGGGAAATTGGCTTCGCTACCTCTGTGCAAAATTTTCAAATCGATCGGACCCGAAATAGAGAAATGCGGCCTGCGTCTTTCTTTGGGACACCCTGTAGATATCATTTGCGGATCCGTGTAGGCAGGGAACAAATTGAGTGTTACAACAAGCTCCCAGGATTTGGAAGTTCGATTCGTCGAATTAGAACGCTTAAGATTTCTGGAGACCCCGCTACGGTGCAGCCAGGCGTCCTCCACTTCGCCAAAGAAGGTCACATCGCATTGCAGACCAAGCAGAAGGAAACGGTCGGTTTGCGCAAAAAAAAAGACTTTCTAACTCCAAAAGCGTTGGATCGGCTATTTGAAGCAAAAGATCAATTTTCTTTCCTGTTGTTCCTTAATTTTTCTAGGGTTCTTTCATGGGGCCACCCCGTCAAGGTGAACGAAAAATATTCCCTGCTTTAGCGATCCAAACGGATCAACGAGGTAATGCTGTTCTTCTACTACCCGGTTAAAATTTTTTAAAACGCAAAAAGCTGTATTTTCTCAAATAGTAGGGTCTGTGGATTTTCTCAAATAGTAGTTTTTTGGGATGGCCTATCGTAAGCGTCATTGAATTGGTGATCCTCAGCAAAATACACCGTCGCCACTACAAGAAATCAAGTGCCAGCAGCCTGATGACCCCGTCGCCATCGCCAAGAATATGATCCAGGTGCTGGGCGGTGCTGATCTGTATTTGCAAGCGAATATTGGACAGGTATGCAAGGGAACAGCCAAGGTGGGATTTTTTTCTTTAATTTTGGATTTGGAGTTTGGAATAATTTTTTTGCTGCCGGCTCCGGTGGCCTAGTAATTTAATATATAAAGTGTTTTCAAATTGTTTTTCGTCAGTTTTAGCCACATTTAAAGTCGCAAAACTTGCAGAAAAAAAAGTTAGAAAATGTCTGAAAAAAGTGCACGGCGGGAAATTCTAAAGAACCGCCTTCCGCTAGCGCGCGGGCTCGCCAAACCCAAAATTTTTATCTACGACGGGTCTAACGTCGGCGATTCCTTAGATGAGGGATTCCCTAGATCTAGATTGCCTAGATCGTGCATGCATTGATACAGGTCCGAATTTTAATGTTCGTTCCGCAGGCCTTTCCGAAGTTTGACTCGGCCGAGCTGCTGGTGCTGTTCGAACGTGCCAAGGAGATTGTGAGTCAGCATCGTGGTGTGGTCCGAATTACCGGGCCTGTTTGGTTCGTCGGCAGCCTGAATGGACATGTAAGTGTGATCGAAGAGACATACGGGCCTCCTTGAGAAACTCGCGAAATTCGAGAAAAACCAATATAACAGGTGTCCCAATATTCAATAGTACGTAATAGCAGTAGGGTTTCGTACGACAACATTGAATTCACGCCTGTTTAGTTCCCGACGCTCTGGCGCGTCTTCAAGGCCTATTCGACGATGGCCGCTCCCGGGACTAAGTATGTTCATAGATTAATCAAATGGCACTAAATCGTAGATCAGTCGGTTTTTTCCACCCGCCGGCGTTTTAAATTCCCCTTCGACAATTTCCATGTTGACTCTTTCCTCTTCGATCGATGAAGACGTAAATAAACGACCACCAGGGTTGAAAAGCCGCTTCGCGACTTTTCAACCCTGGCCCGTATAAGCCCATGAAATTCTGCCCTTTGCATAATTCGCCCGAATTTGTCATGAGAAATGATGAAAAACGCTCCCTCTCTCCGATTATATAGGCTATCGCCACTTCCGGTGCATGCTAATTTTTTCCTAACAAAGAGGGCGCCCGTTTTTTAAAGAAAAAACCAATTTTAATGTTCAAAATAAGATAATTTGCAAAATATTATACGTCTGCAGTCATCTCGGAAGCATTACGCACCTAATGACGTATCAAACTTAACTTAAAAACTTTCCCCTATCGAGTTACTACTGGAACACGCTGACGGAAGTTGCATTCAAATGCACACACACACACAGACACTATTTTTTATATATATAGTAGGATGTAGCATTAAGCCGATGCCTGAACGTCCCCTTTAACTGCCCGATAACGAAGGTGGCTGTGGGGTGATGCAATTTTGTGAATTTGCAACCCTGCTTTTCTGAAAACTGGGAAAATTTTGGTTGCTCTTGACACCTTGCTTTTCGGCATACGGTGGTGTGCGTTTAGGCTCGTATTCCTGGGCAACGTCGGCAATACGGAAACCTGGTCGCTGCCAGCGATTGTCCTTGTCATCGCTACCATGATCATCTACCCCGACAGCGTAGGTGTTGCGCTTCCCCCACGCACAAAGCCGATCCAATGCTTTTTGTGCAAAAGGCTTTTATGTTTTTCTGAAATCGGTATATGTCGGCTACGCGGGGGGGGACAATTTTACGCGGGGGGCGGGATAGGCAGGCTTTTTTGAATGTTTTCGTTATTTTCTCGGAATTTTTGCGACGGCACTCGATAGAGCACCGAAAAATATACTAAGAGTTTTTGTTTTAGCTCAAATGAGTGTAATATAAAAAAGTTATGGCGAATACAAAGATAAGCTTTGAAAATCGGGTTGAGCGGCTGTTTTTCGACATACGCGCTATTTTTTCGACATTTTAAAGATGCCATTCAATAGTGCATCAAAAAATATACTAAGAATTTTAATTTTAGGTCAAAATAATGTAATATAAAATAGTTATAACAAAAACAAGTATTAAACGATGTTTTCATGAAGGACATAGAAGGAAATCAAGTTTTCGACATTTTCGACATTTTTACAAATTTTCTTGATTGCGATTCGACAGAGCGTCGAAAAACATGCTAAGAGTTTTGTTTCTAGCAAAAAGAAACGCAAAAAAAATAGTTAGCTCGGCCCCAACAGTCCGTCCCCCCCGCGTAGCCGACATATACCCTAAAATCCTACCTTATATAATTTGGTCGCGTATCTTTGTGTGTGTGTGTGTGTCCGGCGCCAAGGACGGCTACTTTGCATAATTCCAAAAAAATACAAATATCCTCATTCTTGCAAGTTGCACGTACGGGTGTCGTCGGAGGAAGGGAGGGGTCCGAAGGACCCAAGCTCTTGGAAAGTCAAATTTCTCATGCAAAGGCCGCATTCCAGCGCTCAAGGCCCGCGAAGCGGGTCTTGGGCGCTGGTTTTCAAATATTTTTGTGAAACGGACCGGGGTCTTGTTGGTTTCTGGTAAAAGCGCTTTCAAAGCGGGCTCGCAAATCAGACCCCAAGGGCCGTAAACGTGCCTTCTCTAACACCACGCAGATGATATTCCGGATCCGGATGATAGTTACGCCATTCGAAAGCCCTTGAAACGGAAAGTATACAACAAGCTTCAAAACTATTCCCAATAACAGTCAGGAACCGACTTGTTCCGGATGTCTGACAAGGGTTGTGAGATTTGCAACGTTGCTAAAAGTCCGGAAATGTACCATATGCCGCCGTTGCTTTAGATTTTCTACCTCTTCGGTACATTGGAACGTATGCTGGAAGAGACTGGTGCAAAATATATCGACGAAGACGAAGCCGAAGGAACGGCTGGTGACCGGCAGATCGTAATGAAGAAAGCCGTCGATCTCTTCGTTGGCAGTATGCCACTCTACGCTACCGTCGACGGCCGGCTTCTGGCGATGAGCGGCGGGCTTTGTTCGTTTTTTTTGATACATTGGCAACATCAGGGCGATCTCACAAGTCTCTCTACTTCATTGGGCTCTCGTTCCTTGCACTTTTAAGAAAATCTATGCGCATTAAATCTTAATCTTGCGGTTTTGCAGGCCCGGAACTGACGCCCAAGGACATTCGTGATGGCTTTGACCCGACGGACTACCGGAAGGCGCGCTTGCGCAGTGGAACCAGCTGCAGCGACCCGCATTGGCTTACGGCCCGGTGCGTTGCAAAGGCCACCGTGAGAAAATCATAGGTTCTAGGGGACGCCCGGTTCTGGTTTTTTACCGGGGGGGCGGGTTCTCGGGGGTCAGGTCCTTCCCTTTGCTTCAGCCGACCTGGTGGCACTTATATATTCCAGCTACGCACGCAAGCCGTGCCGGGACTTCATCGGTTATTTGTTTGGACAGGCCCCGATTACCGAAATTCTTGCCCAGCTGGGAATGGATTTCATAATCCGTGGCCGCCAGGTAATCCATCTTTTTGTAGTCTGAATCACAGTATCTCACAATTCAAAAATGGTTTCACTTTCAGAAAAATTCTGGCACATTTCTGAACAAACAGCATGTCATTTTGTGCTCTCACAAAGTGACCCACGAAAGCTTAGTGCGGCGTCTCGAAATTGGACTAGTCTAGCGGTCCTTTCTCATTATCGGGAGGGGGTAGTGCAAACCAAATTTTTTTGTATCAGTCTAGAAAGTATCAGGTTGGAACGAAAGTTCTGTCGCCGAGATTTTGGAAGGCTGGCTAAATTCGTAGATAGCTCCATTCTAGACATGCGATATGTCATTTTGTAGGTCTCGGCCTGAACGGTTCCGGGAGAAGGGTCCTGGGCCCGCAAAATCAAGAACGGCCGAGATACTGGCCCAAGAAGATTTTTCAAAAATTACGAGAAAGTGTTTTTGCAAGTTATCTCTGCATGGAAACATTTGCATGCGATACCTTTAACGCCAATTGATAGCTCTCGAGGGGTAGATATCGATAGACCTTGAGATCATCCAAATTGGACCCTGGATGGCCGAAATATGGCCTCTTAAAATCTGGCTCATTTCTTAGAACTTTTCTCGATTTCGCATACATTTTGTCAAAATTTGCCGGACCGGTCCAAAAATAAAATCGGCAATATTTCAGCACCGACCGTATATGGAAATGGTATGGGGGAAATGGGGAAAAGTTCTAAGAAATGGGCTAAACTTCAAGGGGCCATATCTCGGCCATCCAGTGTCCAATTTTGGTGATCTCAAGATCTATCGATAACTACTCCTCGAGAGCTATTGATTGGCGTTAAAGGTATCGCATGCAAATGTTTCCATGCAGAGATAACTTGCAAAAACACTTTCTCGTAATTTTTGAAAAATCTTCTTGGGCCAGTATCTCGGCCGTTCTTGATTTTGCGGGCCCAGGACCCTTCTCCCGGAACCGTTCAGGCCGAGACCTACAAAATGACATATCGCATGTCTAGAATGGAGCTATCTACGAATTTAGCCAGCCTTCCAAAATCTCGGCGACAGAACTTTCGTTCCAACCTGATATTTTAATAGTGTTTTCAGTAAAAATAACTATAGTTCAAACCAGGGTTGAAAAGCCGCTACGCGGCGACGCGGCTTTTCACCCCTGCCCTTCGCGCGGGGATCTTGAAAAGTTGGGCTGTGGTGAATTCGGGTGAAGTGCTAGAACGAACCCAAAAATAGCAAAAGCAACCGACCACGAGCTTGACAAAATCTGTAATGCGTCTCCTAGCCCTCAAATACCCCTAAACCTTTCGACTATGCCCTAAAATCCTTCCCCTTCCCGATATCTTGATAACACGTTTTTTTCGAGCCATTTATGCAAAGTGTCTACACACACATGAACCATTTTTGTAATAGTAGGATAGCAAAATTATCTAAAAAGTTTTGAGAAAGTCGACATTTTGGTCAAAAACCTTAGATAACTTTTCAAAATCCCTGACGGCTTGACATTGGCTTTCAAAAATAAAGCGGATTTTTAGTTAACGGCTACCGGAGCCGCTTCGTTTGGTGATTGGATGATGTCCCTCTCCATGGCGCCTTGGCAGAACCGAGAACCTTTCTGCGGCGCAAAGGTTTTTTGTTGCTCAGCCTTAGCTGGTCGCAGTGGCAGGAAAACGCGAGAACGTGCAGAAAGACCATAGTGTGGTTTCCTAAATGAGGAGCCTTCTTTTGATTCTGGAAATTTGACGGCGACAGTAGGCCTATTTTGCGCCGCATTTCGCGCCGATTCCCAAGCTGTTTTCGGAAACTGCGAAATGTTCATTTTGCAGAATTTCCGAAGCTGTTTAGCTGGAAGAGCGTCCAACATGGTCAACCATCAATGGCGATTAATGTCTGAAAAAAGATCCAGGCAAAACCAACCCCCCAGATTGTTGACAGAAACAACGACGACGACAACGTTTAAGAAACCTGAATTGGAGCAAAATCTGGAAAAATTGACGTGATATAGCCAGGGACGTAGCGTCACGGCCAATCAAACAGGCCGAAAACGGCAATGTGCCGGGAGGGGCAAAAGCGTCGATAGGAGCGGAACGTAGCGGGCGCCAAGAAGTTTAAGCTCTTATAACTTTTTCAAACCGACTTAATAATGAAAACCCAATATCAATTATTGCAGAGTAGAATTTTACGGTTCGAATGATACCAAATACAGCCAGTTAGCCCTCCGAAATACCACTTTTCACAAAATCGCCAACCAATTTTAGATAGACAATTCGTCGAGCAAAATGGGCGCTGTGCTACAATACGATGGCGCTACGCGTCTCACGACGATCCGCTTTATTCACGGCCATTATTACAAAGGTTAGTTTTTTGCGCTCGCCAGTGTGAAATAATATATGTCCTAATTGCAGATCGTGACGAGTTCGTGAATGCTTTTGATTCATCTGCTGCTGATAAGGATATCTTTGCGACATGCCCGATAGGCGTCTCGTCAAAGGTACATTCATTCAAGTATTAGCGGGGGAGCAATTTTTTAACGATGCAGCAGGGCATAATTTTTTGAGAACTGGATTTAAGGCTAAATTGATTAAATTTAGGTATTTTCCTTAGTATTTTATACTGTCTTTATTACACAACAAACGTAAATAAAGATATAAACGCTTTTGAAAATTTTTAGAAATTGGGAAAGACGGACGTCAGTAACTGAGATCTATAAAAATTTGTAATAAAGTCTGGTAATGTTTCAGCAATCGGAAACTGCAACACGATTAAGGGGACTTTTAATTCATTACTACCGGGGTTGAAAAGCCGCTTTCGCGTCTTTCCAACCCTGGCCCCCGTCTAGCGTCATAATATGCTTCATTTTGCATAATTCTCACGAATTCCGATGACAAAAAAATGAAAATCTCTCCCTCCGCCCATTATATAGGCTCGCGCCATTTCCGGCATATGCTAATTTATTCCTAACAAAGTGAGTGCTCCATTTTCTAACAAAAACTTAATTTTAACGTCGAAAATAACATAATTTGCAAAATCTGATGTGTGTGCAGGCATCTCATCGCCATTACGCACCTAATGACGTATCATACGTTGCTTAAAACCCTTTCCCTCTCGAGACATCCTCCGGACACCCTGACGGAAGTTGCATGCAAAGTGGCACACACACACAGACACTATTTTTTTATATATAGTAGGATGCAGGCATAGGCCGAATTTAAAAAATTGCCTTGCCCCCCAAGCAAAAAAGTTGCTTTCCGCTAGCACGGAAGCACCACTTTTTATCTCAGATCAATTTTGTTTGGAAAATCCGGCTCCACATGGTTTCTTCGGTGCCCATCGCTGCTAAAAATTTGAATCCGATCGGATAAAAGACGACCAAATGCCGCGCCGATGTTATTCAGACACCCTGCCCCTTCAGAACCCTTTCAGCCCCTTGATTGTTTCCCATCGCCGTCCATTACCGACCGATACCTCGAAAACACATTCCCTTTTTTCCAGAATGCCGCCAATAGTTCGGAATGGCCCCCGGAGAAGAGCGAATCGAACGAATCGAAGCCGGAAGGCGTCCCCAAGTGATCGGGTCAAACACCAAAGCCTGAACACGGCTCCGAAAAGATGTTAATACCCGGCTGCAACTATATGTGTCAATCTCGAATAAACGCTGATTTCAAAGCGGTTCCAGTAGTCGTTCGCATAGACACACGTTCACACGAATATCGAGAGTAAATGCTGTCAAACCCACCTGGTTATCCGTTATACTACATGGTTGTAAAGCCTATCAAAATGTACAGCCTGGATACAAAAATTAATCGTTCTATGCACCTTAATCTTGTAGCATACCGGATGTTATTAGAATAGAACAAATCAGCATTTTTGCGGCGGGCGCGTAGTTAGTTTTTAAGACATAGCAGACTGGTCTGGGCGCCTGATGGGGCTTCTTCCTCTCCCAGCTGCATCACCAGCGGCCTACGTTCGGCTGTTGTTCTGGTTTCTGCTTCTCGGTGCTCTTCCAATCGCGATGAGTCAAGCCGATAACCAGTAAGGGACTTTGTCACAAACTATGGGCTTCCCATCCGCTCGCCCTTGCCTGTTTTAGAGGTGCGTAGGGTGTCCCAAACAAACACACCCCCTCCAACTCGACGTAGAAGTATCGGATCGAAATGGTAGTTACACCATTCGAAAGCCTTGAAAAAATGATCGCCTCGCTCTGGGATTAAGCATTAAGGAACGGCCCTTTGCAACTCCATAACGGCAAAATCCGGCTACATTGCTTCCGGATCTTGACGACAATTAGCTAGTATGCAACTCCTAGAAACCGGACAAAAACATGATTTTGTAGATTGTTGCAAACTCGCCGTTTCAAAAGCTTTCGAACGGTGTAACTATCGTTCCGATCCAATACTTCTATGTCGAGTTAGGGGGTAGGTGTTTTTTATTGGGACATCCTGTATACGTCCTAGCCCTTGGGGACCTATCCTTAGATTCCGTTCAGAACCAGCAACGTCTCCGATGTGCCAGTTCAAGATCCTCCGAGCAGCACAGCCGGTCTTCCAATCGTGAGCGACTGCTGCATATTCTGAAAAGGGCAAACTTAGTGCGAAAATCCGCGTGCATTCCTTTGCTATGTTTACGAGGCCCTCGACCAGCCCTTTCCCGACTGGCTTCAACAGACCGAACAGAAGGTTTTTAGCTTTATTAAGAAAACATGGCCGTTAGTGTGAACGTTGCGAATCGCCGGAAGTTTGCAAGATCGGCGCCGTGATCGCTGGCCATTTGGACGACGACCACGACCACAACCGACTGTCGGTGTATGATGAATGTCATCCGCCATTTTGCGTAGGCAATTCTGCTACGGCCCATTATTGCCTGCTGTGTTCAGAAAGATGAACAGGACATGTCAGAGGACACCAAGTGCATCAAGGCCGTGAATTTCGACGGGGATAAGCGAGGTATTTTGGAAAACATCCGAAATCTCATTTGGGTGCTAACAAAGACTTTGAAACCGTCGAAGTGATTTTAAGCAGCTGAGAGTTAGCGTCCAAGCTCCTTTTAAAATTCTCAGATGGAATTTACCAACACATTTTCAGGAAAAGTCTTGTTCCCCTTCAACCTTTGTACCCGTGAAATGGTGGCATTCGGTGATTGCAACAACAAGTCACTGTAGAAGTCTTCATTTAAATTATGAATTCTAATTACAGGAGTACGATAATATTTATGCCGACTACCGCTTCATTAACACCCGACTACATGGTGCAATGCGATACGGGTTTTACAGTCCCAAGGTATGGGAAGCTATTTCCTAAAGAGACAATACATTATTTAGCCTGGTCGTCGCCGTAATTGCGGCATATAAAGGCGGCCCCTTCCACTGGCCATCATATACTTGCATACCGAGTCTTCAACAGACCGCTGGATACTTCAAAGATGATCCGTCACCTCTTCACAACTATCCATACGATGTTGCCGATCTCAAAAACTTTACGGTGGGATGTGTCAATCGAATCAGCAACCTCTATTAATTCCAGTATTGCGAGAAAGGAGGGCGTCCGAGCAAGACAAGTTTGTGCGAACCGCTACCACTCTGCGTCGACAATAACAAGACACTGTAGGGGAATTGATTGGAGTATGGTATTTCTTTGTAGTCCCCCCTCGCCATTCACATCGAAGGAAGTGAAACTTGCCACGGAATGTGAATTTCCATGCAAGTATCAATACGGTCGAATGGAATACAACGACTGTGTCTTTCTCGACATTGTCAATGCGAGCGCTAGGAAATTCTTTTCGGCGAGGCGTGCAATGGTATTCTAGCATTTTAAATATTTGACTCTCGTTTTAGTCGGGCCCGTATGCCGAATTCATGGATGAAGAAGAGAATGTGAAAGTGCACATTGTACTCAACACTACTACGACTAATACCACCGAACCACCGGCTGAAACGAGGAACTCTCGCGACACGGACAGCGGAGAAAAAATTCGATATCCCAGATGCATTAATTCGATTAAATTGTCGGCAAGTTTTGGTTAGCATTTTATAGCTCTGTTGACCCAAGACAAAACTTTTTTTTCAGCGAATTGATCGCGAACGGGTGGAAGATGATTTGATGCTGAACTGCGCGACAAACATCTTCGTGCAGACACTTGGTGATGAGGGATTGATGATTGAACCACCACTCTGTGATGGGGACGACGACATCGTGCGTGGGATTTATTTTTGTTTGTGTTGTCAAGTCGGACAGGGTTTTCTGATTCTACAATATAATGACCAGGTTTCAGCGAATCTGCTGGAATCGCACCGACCCTCTAATGGTGCGCAATGACACCTCGACACCCGCGCCAAAGCAGCAGTTGCCATATTTACAATATGGTGTGTTGTATTTCTTTCAAAATAACCAGATTTAGGTGGAGGCAGCGTTGCTGCGGTCACCTTATTGGTTGTGATCGCGACTGCAGCTTGCCTCTATCAACAGTCGGTAGTTTTCTACCGTATGCGGCGGGGGTAAAAGGTTCTGCCTGCGCCCGCCTTCGACGAAATTGAACAACTACCGCCTCTGAGAGAAACGCCATAACTTTGAAAATCCACTCCAACCGATCATAGCTGGAAAAATCCTATTTCGAAAAAGGCGTGCGCACTCGCAGTTTCGATAATCTTAGATATTTCAAAGATTGCATTTTAAAGTAGGGCCCTTCCTTGATTTTGAAACTCATAATTTTTGAGGTTGGCATACTCGACCACGTCTGCGCGCGTGGTCCGCACCAAGGCCATGCGATAACCGCCTTCTCTTTGCTCTTAGGAAACTCTGGATCTTCAAACTTGGTGCTGTGCCGTTGCCAGGGCTGCAACTGGCCGAGAACATCGTGTTGAAGAAACAGAACATCGAAGGGAATTGGTTGCAGAAGTTTGAGGAAGTGGTAGCGTCACTCAAGCTGATGCTATCCAACAAGTTTTAGATGGACGATACACCGCCGCATGTGAAGCCAGGAAAGCTTCGATTTTCGCTGAAAGGCCATATCGCTCTCCAAGTCGCTGATTCGGTATGTCTGCCACAGTAATATAATTTTTTGCCGAGGGGGTTGCCTGCAGCTTCCGAATAACTGCATCTACAGGGTGTCCCAATCACAAACACCCTCCAACTCGACAAAAAGTATCGTATCGGAATGATAGTTACAACATTCCAAAGCCCTTCAAACGGCGAGTTCGCAACAATTTTCAAAACCATGTTTTGATTTAAGCCCGCCATTTTGTAAAATGTTGCGGTTTTTCTGAGTCGCATCCGAGCTAATTTGCCTCAATTCCTCCATACAAAATGCAAACTTGTCGTTTCCTTTGGATTTCAATGGATTAGCTATCGTTCATATTCGATACTTCTGCGTCGAGTCAGAGCGGGTGTTTTTTATTTGGACACCCTGTATTTCGAAAATTGCCACCGCGATCTCAACTTATTCAGAAACCGGAGCAAGTCGTCATCGTAATGGAACCGGGCGCTACGAGAACTGAGGGAGGGAAGGTAGGAGCCGAACAGTGGTCGGGGGTAACTTCGCCAAGGTTAAAAAAAGCCTGGTGCAAAGGCTTCGTTCATAGGCCCTCCCCACGCGATAAGTCTTAAAAGCTGATGACTATGCTTGTATTGGGTTAGTGCTGCTAAAAGTTACATCAAACGCTTAGTCTGTTTGAAATCCACCAAATGCGCTAGCTTGCGATCCCGTTGCCAGGCCTCAAACCACCAATGTTTAGAGGAGCAATGACGGGACGGCCGCCGAGAATGGAGGGAAGAATCAAGACGACACTGAAAAGCCCAAACCGTTCAAGGCGGAGAACCTCAAACCAGAAAAAATCCCGGCAGATACCGAGCAGCGACCTGGGCCAACCGAGCCCCAGCCCGTCGCAACCGAACTCGCCAAGAAGTTCTTGACTCGCTTGGCCGAAGGAGACATGGTTTCCAGTTCGAATCGAGAGGTCTGAATTCGATTAGCAATGCCACGACGTTTTTACAGCCGTACGTGACGTTTGTTGAATGGGAACTCATCGCTCTGTTCGAGCATGCCGATCAACTCGTCCGCAAGACCAAAGGCGTGGCGCACATCACTGGGGCTACCTGGATCATTGGCGACATCCATGGCGACGTGAGTCTCAGCGGCCCCGCAAGTTCATTTCAGGTTGCTAGTTCAACACCCTCTCGCGCGTCTTCCGGGCCTACTCGACCCATGCTACCCCGGGACAAAAGTGGGTTAAAAGGGGTGGCCTTGAAGTGGCGGTGCTGGCCGGCGTGCGCGTTCATACTGTTTTATTTGGCCGGCGGCAAATCCGCGGCGGAGTTTTTGATATCTACACTATTTTTTGCGGGGTCTTCTCGAAGCCATTTGATGCAGCATTAAAAAATATACTAAAGGCTCGAATCATTGCCCAAAATAAAGTAAATCTGTAAAGAAAAAGAACGTGCTACGTTTTAGAATGCTCTTCCTTGGCGATGTCGTCGACCGCGGGAAACGCCAGCTGGCATGCTTGGTGCTGGTCGTATCTGCACTCGTTCTGCATCCAGACACGGTGGACTCTTGAGCTGTTTAGCAGCAGACAATTTACTATCGAAAGTGTTAGTCAAATGACTCGTAGTAAAATTAGTTAATGTTTATCAAAAACAATACAAAGAGGTTTGGCACTATCGGGGGGGGGGGAGGGGGGAGGGGGTACTAGGCAGTTCTACGCTTTACCAAAAGTTCGTTTTCTCCGCACCCACCCCCCGGTAATGCGAAAGAACCTCTGGTAACAGGAAATGAGCCGCTTGCTTTGGACCAGAAATTAACGAATCTGCAACATTCTTCCGCCATTCCAGAACTTCCAAGCGTCTGACACCTATTTTTTTTGCAGATTTTTTACCTGTCCGGCAACCATGAAGCCGAAGAACAGAACGAGAAATATGGCTTCCACGACGAGCTCCGATGTGATGGATATTCTGGGCTGCTCTATCTGGCAATCCTGAATTTCTTCAAAAGCTTGCCCGTCGCGGCCGTCGTCGACAAGCGTATCCTTGCCATGCACGGCGGGCTAGGTGGGCGTTTCCTGCCACTGTTTCCGTTTCCGACCTTCCCCCCGATTCCGAATCTGCTTTCATATATTGCAGAATCGCTTTTCTCTAAAGCTACTGTCTGTTCTGTCCCCCCATTTCCCACCGCGTAAAATTCCCCCCCCCCCCCGCATAACCGACATATACCGAAGTTTCGTCCTTTTAAAAGAAACCCTATCATCATACGGGCCTGATAAATGATAAAAAGAATGTGCAATTTTCCCCTCTTACGATTTGCACAGGGGATATATACAGGGTGTCCCAAAAAAAACGAACCATCTGCCATTTCGCCGTGTTACATACAATCGGCCCAAAATTTGGACCAGGGGTGTATCAGACCCTAAATAACAACAATCCTGACTTATAGCCGCGTAGCTACAGTCGTTCTCGAGTTATAACGAAAATACTGCTTTTCCCGGAATTCTGAACGGTTTTTTCGGCTATCTTTTTGGACTTTGCATAGATTTGCATCGACTTCCGGCTGCGAATCCCTAATTTCGCTTAAGAACCTTGGGTAATTTTGCGTTGTAAAAATCGCTTAAATCGAAGCTTATTTAATTAATTTTAATCTGGAAAAATTTCTTAAGGTAAAGAAGGCCTGCCGGATCATTTTCACTTAATGTTTAGGGGGTCTAATTCCACGAAAATCCTATGAAAAATAGAAAATAAAGTTCGTTTTTGCCATAACTCGAGAACTACTGTAGATACGGGGCTAAAAGTAAGGATTGTTGTTATTTAGGGTCTGATACACCTCTGGTCCAAATTTGGGATCGATTGGATGTAACATGGCGAAATGCCAGATGGTTCGTTTTTTTTGGGACACCCTGTAGTTGAAAAATACCATACTAAAATTTTTCCAACCAGTGTCGGAATCAGAAAAAATTCTGCAAGTCATTCTAGGGCCCGAGATCACGGCTGAAGATATCCGCAATGGTTTCGAGCCGCGCGATGGATTGAAATACTGGATGATTCAGGGGATTCAATGGAGTGACCCAAATTTCAAGGTCAAAAGGTTTGTCACGTTTACACCGTATTTGTGGATTTCTTTCAGTCTTCACGATATTTTCTGGGAGAGCCCTTTTTGGCAAACTTTTTCTCAGAACGTTATTTTGCTCATTCGTGCAGTTACGAGCCGAACAAGAGCCGCGGCGCCGGCTGGCGCTACGGAGTTGCAGCCATCGAAGAGGCTCGTCGAAAATTCGGCATTCAATTCATCGTTCGTGCCCATCAGGTTGGTGGCCAGTTCCTAGCTTGGTATTGCTTAGGCTTAGGCGTAGGCTGAGACTTACGAGTAGACGTTTTTTAGTGTCGTCCGGACTTTGGAATGAAACCAAGCCTAACTTGTGCAGAATTTTGCGCTGATGCCGAATATTGTTATCGTTTTTGCGGAATCGTCAGTCGTTTACTTTACCCCCCCCCCAGCTGGAAGTTTTTCGCTATAACTTTTTTATTTTACATTATTGCAGGCTCAAATTAAAACTCTTAGTATATTTTTTGACGCTTTATCGAATGGCGTTGCAAAAATTCCGACAAAATAAGCGAAAATACCGACAACTTTGAGACCCTTCCGCTGTGGGGGGTGGGGTAAAGTAAACTCTTACCAGCTGATTTTTAAATAACCGATCCGAGGCCTTGAGGTCCATCGAAAAAGTAACCGATTTGTCGGACTTTTTTAGATTCAAATAGTCTATGTCTTTCGAAATGGCTATTCCGCAAAATTGCTAATTATATTCGGAATTAGCGTAAAATTCTGCACAAGCAAGGCTCAGTCCCATGGAAGTTCGGACGACACCCAAAAACCACTTCTTGTCAGGCTTATTCTCTTTTTTCATCCTCATTCTACCAATATTAGGAAATGAACGTCGGTGTGCGCTTTTTCGGAGATTGGTTGATCTCGTTGAACACGTCCGGCTGGCGCAGCCAGCGTTCCAATCAATCGGAATATAGCAAACAGAGAAGGCGAATTTGTCTTGAAGACGACGAAGGCCCGAGATCGGTAAGCTTTCTTTGAGCATCACTTTTGTACACACGCCGATGACAATAATGAGGATATATTTGGGTTCCAGGAGATCAGCGGCGTGCTAAACTATGACGGCGGGGAAACGTTCACCATGATCCACTTCGTCCCTTTCCAGAAGCCCTACAAGTGTGGGACATGGTTGACAACTTTAAAAGCGCGCGTCCGGGCCGTTGAGTCAACCTAAGCAAAAGCCTGGACGACTAGCAGAAGTAGCCTTACAAGAGACGTTTTTGAGTAAAATCGCGGTTACGAGTGTGTGCATTTGCATGCGCACTTCCGTGACGTTGTTCCGCACCTAGAGCCACGGGGAAAGCGTTTTTTTTTTTGGATAGGGACGACGGGATTAGGCGTATAAAATGGACTGCACGGAGGAAAAAGTCTTGAAAAATTGCGCTTTTCGAGAGCAAGATTAGGTTTTTTTGCGAAATTCTCGGCCGGCCTCTTCATAGAGATCATTTTTCAGCGCACGTCGACTTTGCCAAAGATTTCACCTCGAAGGTGGCTCTTGAAGGGGCATTCTCGGAAAGCAACTACGACAGCGTTGCCAGCGTACGGTTTTCTCATAGCCTGTACAAAACGTGCTTAGCGTTGCAGCATTTTCATTCTCACACTGAAAACAAAACTTTCAGCCGTTCATTCGCACGTCGAAGGTTCGCGACATGGGCGTGAGTGTTTTGCAATGTTTGCATTTTGCGTTTCACACTGTCTGCCTTGCCAAATTGCCCTTACGTTTCAGGATGACCAGACCGTTCGAGCCCGAGCGAGACGAGCGCCGGAGAAGGGTAGCGAAGAAAAGGCACGGTCCATTTCTCTCTCTCTCTCTCTCTCTCTCTCTCATTCTTCACTCTATCTCTTTCTCTCTCTCGCCCTCTCACTTTTTCTCTGTCTCTCTCTCACGCTTCCTCCCCAATAAACATGAGATTATTACATTACAGCTTGATCGGACCCAGGAGGACCCCACCGACGCCGACGCCAAGCCTTAGCCACAGACCCCGGGTCAAGCCGAGATCTTAAATCACTGTCTCCGTCAGCATCCGTGCCTAGAAAAACTCGTTCCTTCGCTAATTATTTTTCTGTGATCTGTGCCTGCTTTTTGAATAAATTATGGAGCGGTAAGAGATGGATACCATACGGCACAAACCCCATTCTCGCTCGAACGGGCAAGAAAGCCGTCCACCCATTTCTTAAAAAAGCGTAAAAGTAAAATCCGCGTCGTGTTGTTAGCTAGGGGCGGCAATTAACATCCGGATTTTGCATAGAATCCGCAGTTTCCATGGATTTTGGTCCCAAAATTCGTATTAGAATGCCTTTGTTGAGAAGCGAAAGGTGCTGGTATTCTCGTTTTTCCGAGAGCTTCCCGTCGAGCCGAGACACCTGAATCGTCAAAATCGGACGCTTCGGCAACCCGCTAGAGGGGGTCGATTTTTTTGGACATACTGTAGACTCTTATACTATTTTTACCGACTTTCCCTACCTTTCAGGTTTCTAAAATGGTTTTTACGCGGAAACCTCGGTTTTCGCAAAAGTTTTTTGCTCTCTGCTCGCTTGCGTGCTGCCACATAAATTTCCTTTTCTTCGCAACGACGTCCGCTCGCCTGGATTCGCCGAATGCTGGCGCACGTCGCCACGTATTGGCGTAGTGGCGGTATTCCCTAGTGGCCAATAGCCCACGGACGACGACTGGCATTCTAATGATGACCGAAGCGGAGCGGGGGCGCCTGGGTCAATTTTCGACAATCCCCCGGCTGGGGTTGGGCATGGGAGCGACGGACGGGCGGCTATTCATCTCGAGGGCCCTGGTCGCATCCCTCAAAGAAGTGCTCACACGCGCCGCCTTTTTTGAATTAATTGAATATCAGCGTTTTTTTGTGTCTAGGGTGGACATGTGTTCGGTGTCTGGTCTTCATGCGCTCAACGTTCTTGGTATGCTGACCAACAGGGCGACGTTTTTGAGTGACAGTCTTGAGCAAGACCAAGAAAAGCTTGTTCAGGATTTGCGCCGATCTAGCTTTTTCAATTTTTTAATTTGATTTGAGGCATTTTTAGGGCATTTTAAGGCCAAAACCCTCAAAATAGTATAGTTTGGCCTCCCGCCAAAAATTTCAGAGATAATTTTTCGTGAAATTTCGTGAATTACCTTGGATGAAGTACTCTCTCGAATTTTTTAAGGAGTCTCAACTATGCGATTTTCAGGATTTTCACATTAAAATACGCCGTAACTTCGTGTAAATACCGACTAAGCGAGTTTCGAAAACAGGTTAGGTAGCAGCACAAAACTCTGCACAAAATAGGCTTGGTCTTACGCAAAAATATTTCTTTGTAAGGCTCTAAAACCAAGGATTTTAATTTTTTTTCTGTTGTGTTTGAAGTCAACATTTTTCAGCAGACTCAAACTTTAGCGTGCGTAATCTATTATGCAAAAGGCAAAATCTTATTTCTGCAAACCTCAGCTTATTTAATTATCCGAAGTATTCTTTCGATCCACCTTTTCACGACCGTTCGGTCCAATCCCCGATAATGCTAGATACGAGTTGCTAACCCCCTTAAAAAAATTCTGGCTTCACCTCGCGCCGGCGAAAAACAGCCTCCCCCGCGAAAATTGAGCTCCACACTCTAAAAGTTCAGTTTTTCCCGCTTTTACACCGGGACCAGTAAATAACGAAGCGTTCCGGTTGCCATTTCGAGCGACGTCGGCACGTGTGGCGGAAGTTGTCAATTTGTGCTTTCGAGAGAAACAACCCCGGGGGGGGGGCATCCCCCAGCCCCTCGTCAGTTGAAATGGCCACAGTTTAGAGGGCAACAGAAAGGGGGATGAAATGCAATTAGGTTCATGTGGGAAGCGGAACATACACACGGCGCCGTCCTCGGCAGCTCCAGCTCGAGCCGGCCCGGCTTTTCCAAATAAGACGCGCCGCCGAGCCGTCCAAATTGCTTCTGCACCCCGGCGCATCAATCTGCCTCAAAAATCTGGAGAAATTAGAAATTTTTTTGCGGGCCTTTGGAGCGGCGGGGAGAGTATCACACATCAACATGCAATAAAAGCATAGGCTGGGTGAATTTTTCAGGCGCTGGTGGTGATTACTTTTTAAACTACAGCAAGACCCGGCAGCGTAGCGTGACGTAGCTTAACCCAGAGTAGCTTAATGTAGCATATGGTGTCGTGGTGCGCCTCGGTTTTCAATCTTGGTAAGGTTTTTAAGATTGACCAAGAAATCACGATGGGCGATGAATTCAGCGCTTTACGGCGCATTACGACATGTAATTCACACGGGCGCAAAGTCGATTTTGCCCCAAACAGACTTTTTCTTATATATGTCTTCTAAATTCAACGAAATAAAATTGTGGTACCACTTTGCAGTTTCTTTTTGTGTATTTAATAGTCTATTTTAGTAGCTTACTTACTTCATATTTTATTTCGGAAAGGTCCCAGAAGGCTTTTAGAAAGGCTTTACGACTTTCACGCCCAAAAATCCTCATGACCTCCCGGAACGTTTCGAGTTTTTACAGCCCGTCGAAAAAGGCCAGATGCGGCGGAAGCCAAGCGATTTTTGCACCCGGTCACTTGTTTATCATCACTGCCCTCCCTCGTCTCGGCCACCTGTTCGATCATATCCAAACTTTTTGCGGGCAGCAAAATCGTTCCCTAGCTATCCTCCCGGTCCATCCATTGTAACCGGTTCCTCGTGAAATGGTTATAACTTTCGGTTATTTTTAGTTATTTAAATATATCTAATGTAAATCATATTTAATCCTACTATATATAAAAAAATAGTGTTTGTGTGTGTGTATATTTGCATGCACTTCCGTTTGGATGTTCCGCACCTAGAGCCTCAGGGAAGCATTTTTTCGGTAGGGAAGAAACGTCATAGGGTAAAGAATGGGCGGGAATCGACTGCACACACAAAAAATCTTTGAAAAATTTCTATTCTCGCTATTAAAATGAGGTTTTTGTAAAAATATTGGCTTTCCTCTTTGTTAGGGAAAAATTAGCATGCGCCGGAAGTGGAAATGGCATATAAAAAGTAAGGGAGGGCGTGGTTTTCATTTCTTGGTCATCGGTTTCGGCCAGAATTATGCAAAGTGTCATAAATCCTAGACGGGGCCAGGGTTGAAAAGCCGCGAAGCGGTTTTTCAACCCTGGTTTCTTTTTATTTATACATTTCATCTTTACTTTTCCATTGCGTACTTGTCGCACTTCTTTTCTGAGTAGTGTGTGTGTGCTGCGTACAGAAAAGCAAGCGGCCGCGCTGCGCCGCGTCGCGCGTCGCGTCCGAGGTAAATTCATAGAGAAATCATTGGTGTTTTCCTTAAAAAAATCTAAAGTAAATACAAAGAGCCTTGGGTCTTGCGCTTTTGAGTTCAAAAAAATTATTCTGTTATTATGCCGCAGCGCGTCCTGCCACTTTTCGGGGCGGTTAGATTATGCCTCAATTGAACAAAGCAAATTGCAACTTTTTGAAATTTGTAACTTAGGAAATTTCGAAATTACGAACCGGAATTATGAATTTTTTCATTACGGGCCGCAACCTTGAGAAATTTCGGCATTATGAGATTTCGACTCAACGAAAGGCGACATTATTTTCGTAACAATACCTTAACAAATCTGTTAAACAAAGTCAAACAAATTCCCGAAATTAGTACTAATCGGAACGCTATAACTTTTGAAATTCCCTACTCACCTGAAAGTACCCTCCTCTGGACCCCGATTCTTGGGCGGCTTGAGAATCTCCGTGTCACCGCAACCCCTGCGATACTTTCGAGGCGGGGGGCAATTTTTCTCACTTTTTTGGGGCATTTTTGGAACACCACCACACGCGCATGGGGTTGGGGCCAGTGGCCAGGGGCCAAGGGCCCGGGGCCCCCGGCCCTCGGCCTCTCAATCTTCCCCCTCCTCCCCTGGGTTTTGTCAGTCCCCCCCGATGGACATGGAGATGCGGCGCGGGGCCTAAATATTTTCCGGCAACCCTTGCCCTTTTTAGCGTTAAAAGTGGCTTCAAACTTCCGCAACAAGCTCTGAAGATTCTCTTGCACTTTTTTAGTTAAAAATGGCTCTAAAGTTCAGAACACAAACTCCTTTATCTTCTTCCTTCTTTTTTTGCGTTGCCGATAGCAAAGCGGACAGCTGCTTTGTGGTGTTGTTTTTGCTAGAAAAAAATCATCTGAGAATTCCCTACCATTTCAGGAGGAAATGCTTCTCAAATGTCTTGTTTTCAAGAACTTCAAAGGCTAACGGATGTGCGAATTTGGCAATACAGCAATATATAGCCTAGCGGGTAAAGGTTGCACAACGGAGGGAACAGATTCGGAATCAGCGTAAAATTCTGCACAAAATCGTCTCAAAACTCCATCACCTTAAAAAACGTATCCTTGTTTGCACAGCGTAGCGTCATGTAGTGTAAAGCAGCGGCGTCCAGTGTAGCGTACCTTGACATAGCGTCATGTCTTCTAGTTACTAGGATAGCATAGCACGTTGTGTAGTGGAGCTAACGTAGCGTAGCGTCGCTTCCGGTAGTGCAGGATACGTACCTTAGCCTGACGAAGCGTCGTGCAGTGCAGCATATCGTAGCTTCGTGTAGTGTAGCGTGTCGTGGTGCAGCTTAAGGTGCCCGAAGCAGCTTAGCGTAGCGTTGGGTAGTGCAACGTAGAGGGGAGTAGTGTATTATCGGTTAAGAGATGCACATGCGTATCGCGGGGGTGGTAGAACTCACCAAAACGCTGTGGAGCAAACGTACACTACACGCTTTCGTTTTGGTCCTTGTGCCGTCGAGACCTAGTATCCCCGGGGACGATCTTCTCGCTTTCCAGTCCCTTTAAGATTTCAATCGACACACGTATCCTCTCCACCACCCCAGACAAAAACCTGAAGTCAATGGCTACATCAGGGTTCGCCTATAATTGCTGACCTTCTGCCGCTCATCCCGGCTTTTCACCCCGAAATTGCCCCTGAAAAGCGCCGGATCGAGCGTCACCTCGCCGCCATCAAAAAATGTTGCCTGCCGCCATAGGGGCGGGTGAAATTTGGCCCCAGCAGCCACCCGGGGGCGCTTGATGAGCGGTTGGGGCCCAATTACCGAGTCCCGTCAACTCATCTCGAGCGTATCCCTCTGCACCCCGTTTTCGGCTTCTCCTCCTCATGCTCCTTCTGTTGCTATTGCTGCTCTTGCTGATTCTTCTACTCCTTTATCCTGTTCATATCCTTATTGTGCTGCATCTCCCACTCTTCACCTCCTTCTCTAGCTGCTCCTCCACCTGCCTCTGCTCCTCGAACTGCTTCTGATCCTGACCCTGCTGCTCCTGCTGCTCCTTCTCGATCCCATCTTTCTCGTCCTCGCGCTCGTCTTCGCGCTCCTCCGTCACCTCTGCTCGTTCTCCAGCTGATCATGCTCATCCTGTGTCTCTTGCTGCTCTTCCACGTCCTCCTCCTCCTGCCGCTGCTTCTCTTTGCTCTTGCTCCCCATCTTGCTCCTGCTCTATTTACCAATTTGGGCATGGCATATTTTAGAATATCCTAAAAGTCCGGGGGGTTGGGATCATCTTCCCGGAAGCCTGAAAGCTTGAATGAGCGGAATTCCTAGCCTTTAAGCTTATTTTAAAGGGATCGGCAAGCTGCAGAATCGACTTTAAGCTAACGTCAAGCCTCAAAACACGCCATACCGCGTCCAATTCTCACGTTCTCAAAATACCCCCCTGATCCCCTTCGTTTCCGGTCCGACTTTCCTGATTTCCGGGGCTGATGGCTGGATTCGGCAACCTTTCGCCCAAATCTGGCCCCTAATACCGAGGATTTTTAGCAAGTCTGGGCGCTTGTTTTTCCATGACGTTGGATTTTTTACCTTTTTTTGCCAGGTTTGACGAGATTGACCGTTCCGGGTGTGTAGCCCGTAATTACGGTGTGCAGGGGTACGCCCGTATCTATGCCCAAATATCACTAATTACCGTTTCAACGTGCAGTTTGTTATTTGCCGAGCGGATGACGGGAATGTATGAATTTTTATCAAAGTTTTCGAATCTGAAAGAGATTGACAAGCTTGAGGATCGACCCCCTTGCAACGCTAAGGTGTCGACAGCTATGCGAAATGACGAAAGATTCGTGAATTGCGTTAAAAAGGCTGTTTTTACTATTTTTGGATGTTTGCTAAAGGCAAACAATGCTTTTTTGAGTTTAAATAATATCCATCTAGTTAAAAACGTTTTCATGGGGCCTTTGCTGTTCACATGCATTTTTGTTTTCGTTTCCACAGTTTGAAGCGGAAGCGGCTACCAGATTTTTGTATTTTCCATGGCTAAAATAGTATTAACAAGACTAATTCAACAAAAAGGGTTTAATAGAAACAAAAATTTTCTATCTGTTAATGACTTTCTCGATGGTTGAGTGATCCTTAATGATTTTCCATATTTTTTAATGGCGTTCAACGAAGGTAATTTTTGTCGGAATTATTTTGGGCCCTCCCTCTTTTTCCGCGTGGACCATCCGAATGGCTTTGAAAATTGGGCCACTTTCCGGGTGGCCACTTTGGTCAAAACCCTTTGCTTCCTTTGTCTAAAAATGACGATTCTGCGTGATTTTGCAGCTTTTCTATCCTCTATTTTTTGCCCGTAATACCGCTGAAGTTTGCAGCTTTTTGGAGAAACCGTAAATTAAGGCTGGTACCGTATGAAAAATAAAACCCAGAAAAAGTTTAAATTGCCGGCTATGCTACACCGCTGAACACCGAACACTTGGGGTTTTTTTATTCATGGTTTTCGATGTCCTTGCCCTAATTACCGTAGTCAGGAGGAGCCACAGCAAATAGAGCTCATGTTATAGAAAATTAATGGTGGCGCTCGGGGATGTAAATGAATTGGGGGCCGGGGTGGGTAATGGTTTTTCATGACTAACTCACGCAACCAGGTTGCGAAAAATTTTTTGAGGCTCCATGTCCCATTGGGGTTGCGATTTGTCACTTTACGGTTTAATACGGTAGTATTTTACTACTTTAATAACGATTTGGTAAAAATGTCAACTAGCATTTGGCGTAGCTTATGACTTAGGCTTCGATTGGGACTTACACTTGGGCTTAGGCTTAGGCTTAGGCTAGGGTTTAGAAGTATGCGTAGTTGTTAGGCTTAGGCTTAGGCTTGGGCATGGGCTTACATGCTTGGGCTTCGGCTTAGGCTTTGGCCCTGTCTTAGGCTTGGGCTAAGGCAGATGCTTACGGACAGGGTTCATACATTTGAAGATTTAATACATTTTTTTAATCGGCCCATGGTTTTTAAGGTTATAGACACAGCATCATCGTCTCAAAGTTTTCCACTCGGCCATGAATCTCTAAACTCTGAGCCGGCGTCACGCGGATGCGAGATTTTTTCGGGGATTTCTTCGAGGAGGGGAGAGAGCTGTTCGACGGTGCGGCGACCCAGTCGCATGCAAAGGAAATTGCATTTTCGCGAATTGCCAAACAAGCCGGGCCCTGGGCCGTGGGTCCAGTTTTTAGCCTGAAATCCCGGCGCCCACGATGGGATCGTCGTAATCTGAATTCGATTCCATCCGGTTAATTCGTTTCTTTTCGTGGACGGATTTTGTCGGGTTTTAAAAATTTGGTCTTCACAAGTATTTGTCATTTTTCAAGTTTTGTACGTTTCAGGATTTTTTTGTAACTTTTCCCGCAGCCAATTTTTTTATTTTCTGCTTTTTGCGCTGCACATTCACTTCTTGCCTTCCCTTTTTCTCCTTCTTTTTTCTTTGCGGCTTTAATAATTGAATTCCCGAACATGGCGCTAATGGATGAAGCTAGCTCGTCCACCCTAGCGCTACTCGATATGTATCAAGAAGTGGTAATTCCGAGACTAAAAATTCTTAACTTCTTGCTTTTTTTTAGACGGAAGCCACTACCATTATGATGTCCAGGCCCACGATAAGTAATAACCTGACGAAATTTTTGATGGAGATTCGATCCTACAATCACTATGCTCAATTGCTGATGGCGGCGGTAAGTTTTTTTCACAAATGATCCTTGCTTGTCTCCCTTTTGAGGCTTTAGCGTGGCCGTGCTCACTGCTTTTTAATGTTTTGCCTAAATTTCTGCTGCTAGCCTGCCCTACAGCTCCAAGTCCTTCTGCTAGTTTGCCCTGCATTCCGAAAGAATCGCTGCTAGCGTTCGTTTTTAAGCATAATTGCCTTGCCATGTCCAAACTGAATGGAGACTAGGATAGGCCATTTGACCAAAAGACAAATCTCTTTTCCAGCTCGCCATCGCCGGTAATGGATTGATTTGCTGCTCGGCGTTTTACCTCAAGCGTCCGATCTCTGTATACGTCTTGCTGTGCGTATCTCTGGCAGCCGTCGATTTTTGGGGATCAAATTTGTTCCTGATCGGTCAGTATTCGTATTCAAAGCGTGAGAGAGAGAGAGAGAGAGAGAGAGAGTGAGAGAGAGAGATGAGATAGCCGCACAATTTCGAATTGCAGAAGAATTCGTTCGCGGCAACTTCTCAGATACGGTCATCCAAGAGTGGATGTGCTATTTCCGGCCAATAACGATATTTCGGGTATGATTCAGACGATGTTATTTCAGAAGATAAAGAGGAAAAGCAAAAAAAAAGATACTTTCGTTTCAGAACTCGGCCGTCATCTCTTCATCTTGGCACTTATTAGCCTTGTCCTTTTACCAGTATGCCGGTATTATGTGGCCCTTAAAAATCAAGGTAATTTCACTGTTTTGGAATCTGCAATCAAAGCAAAATTTTAACTTTGTTTTATTCTTATCTTTCAGTCAATCGTCCGGAAAAAGCATCTCCGAAAGGGCTTCCTTTTTCTCTGGCTCGCTCCGCTGTTTATCATGTTCTTCAAGTCAGTTTGGGCAGAACGGCTTTCTATCTCTCTCTCTCTCTCTCTCTCTCTCTCTCTCTCTCTCTCTCTCTCCCTTTCTCTCTCTCTCACTCTCTCCACCTCCCATAATTTCTAATTTTCAGATACTCGATGGACCCGAGCGACGGGTTATTGGCCGAAAAATGTGTGACGAAATTCCGGGAGCACTTCCCGCACAGGATGTTCTTATCAACGCTCATCATGGTCCCAATTATCATCACTGTGGTATGCTATATTTTGAGCTTTTTAATATCTAAAAATTTTATTCCAAAGTGCCCCTTAGACCAGCGTACAATACTTGCTACGTGGAGCGTAAAGAAAACCTGGGCTTATGGGTTGAAATTTGGTCGGTAGTCGAAACGAACGCTTTCGTCAGGCCTAAAAATGTTATGGGCCACAATCCTGGTTTCAAAACTTGTGCCCAGCCCTCCCAATTTGTCCAAAGAACGGAAACTGGAAGATGAAGAGCCTAAAAGGAGTGCTAAAGTAACAACATTTCCAGTTTCTCTACATCCGCATCGTGTGCTTCATCTCGAAAACGTACACGGTGCTGAACACGATGAATGTTGGGAAGGAGAAGTGGGTCATAGATAACTTCTACTTTTTCAATTAAATTAGAACCTTCTAAAATAATTTTTAGAAGCGAAAGCACCTCCAAACTCGTCAACACCGCCCTGGTGATCGTCATCTCGTTTCTGTTTGGATATGGGGTCTTCTCGATATTCTCACCATTGGTAAGCGATCTCTCTCTGGCTCTCGCGCGCTCTCTCTCTCTCTCTCTCTCTCTCTCTCGTTCTATTCATCTCTCGCTCATCGTGTTAAATACGTAGCACTCCAAAAACACGCGATAGATGCAGTCTTCATCTCTGTTTTCCTGAAAGACTGTTTTCCCAGAAATTCTGAACGTGCCGGCCCAGCCACCCGGCTTCTTCCCGTAATCGCTTTACCCCAATTTTGGGCGAATTTCATTAGCTGGGCCCCGACGAGCCACACTCGATAGAAAAAGCCGCAACAAAAATAGGTGCTGACGAGAAATTTATCATGACTAATACCGAACCTAATGCCGAACACAAAGAGTCGACAACT